TGCACGCAGCTTTACCTGCAGCGGGAACACGCAGCCCAACTGGCCGAGACCCAAACCGACGACATCATCAAGGGCGCGATGAAAACCGCAGCTTCCTCGCAACCCGGCGGAGCGGCAGCGCCTGCCGCAGAGGGGGCGACGACGTCGTCGGCGTCTCTGCCCTCGTCAACGACGACGGCCACGACGCAGCAGGAGCAGCAGCTGGAGCTGCAGCAGCAGCAGACGCAGCAGCAAAAGCAGCCGCACCGCGGCAGCGACCCCGACGGAGAGTGGCACGAGTCGGAGAGTGGCCTCGAGTGGGTGGAGGCGTCGCCGGAGCCCGGGAGGACGGGTCGCCCTGGCGACATCCGCTCGGCCAAGCAGGCGGCAGCGGCCGCCGAGGAAGAGGAGATGGACACCCTCAAAAAAGGTTTGACCGTGGCGCGAGAGAAGCACGCACGCACGCAGGTTTCTCGAGCCGAGTTCATTTGTGGCCAGGACTATGCAGAGGTCTACCGCGTCTAAGTTCTTGAGCCACATTTGCTTTCCGTAGCTCGACCCAGGGTTTTTTTTTCAAAACACTGCACTATTCGGTCTTCACGCGCCAGCTATCATTGTTTATAAACCACCCAATTGAGTGGCATGCACCCGTCGTATTCGCCGTGGTGATCTTTATATAGGACTGGAAATTGGAGGCTCATTTAAGTTTGTAGGATGCAAACACTGGACTTATACTGCTGCCCCGAGCCCACAATGACCTGTTCCACCTGATAAAATAAGCCCTTGCCCTCTGCGTATAGAATATTTCATAAGACCTTCGTCAAATGCATAAAAAACTGATCACAGTGGCAGTGGTCCCTATCACTATGAGCCGGCTGCCTGTGTAATGATCTCCAGTTACAGCTGACATCTGTGGCGAGTGATATCTGAACAGGTCACGGGCACCTACAACCAGCGAGATTAGATACTGTCAAACAACTTTGTGACGGAATGACATTGGGAGCCCTTCATCCAGCAGCGGATTGACGGGACTGAAAACTAAACTAAAACTTCAATTGTATGCGGCGTTCAAATTCACACACACCACCGTTATTTGTACCAAATTGAAGCAATAGCGCCATAATCGTACATGTGGAAACTATTCGCACAAAGCATGACATAATTGTATAATGCTCTTATCAGAAAGACGGGATAACCAGATGTTTTGCAATGGGTGTTGTAAGCGTTCACCTTGCATGTCACCACAGCCCTGGCGCAAGCGGGCAAGCATATGGAGGACTGCATCGTGGCATCCTACACGGCGCTTGTGCTTGGCTGTCTGTGCCACGAGAGTCCGGTATGTCCACTCAAGAGCCCCACACACACAAAGATCCCTCCCCTGTATAGCCCTAACAGACTGTTGGGGCAAGTGCTGTTAGCGAGCACCTATGAAGGCCGGCACACGAGCCTGTGGGTGACCAGCACCACACCCGACCACCTTTGTCTCCCTAGTGGCGATGTTTATACACCACATACTCATTTTAGGCTGAGTAGACCTAGGGGACGCTCAGGACCGGTTCAGATGATTGTCACTGGTGTTCGTCGTGAGCGGGAATCGAACTTTGTTCGCCGCAGTGCGCTAATCGCTACACTACTGCTCCCCACATAAACAAAGACATCCCGTATAACCTTAACAGACTGTTGGGGTAAGTGCTCTTAGAGAGCACCTATGAAGGCCGGCACGGCACACAAGGGGGTGGGTGACCAGCACCATGCCTGGCAGCCTTTGTCTCCCCAGTGGTGATGTTTACTACACACCACACCAGGTACTCATTTGAGACTGAGCCGACCTAGGCGAGGTCCAGGACCGGTTCAGATAATCGTCACTGGTGTCGGCCGCGAGCAGGAATGGAACTTGGCACCCCGGATTCATAGTGCAGCGCAGTATCCGCTACACTACCTGCTCCCCACTACACACAACCACACACACACATACATTCCAGCCGCACACCGGTACGCGCTCCTCCACACGGTAACCCACACCCACGTTCGTTTTCCTGCCGCCACCAGACGACTGTGCAGACCATCCGCGAGTGTCTGCCCAAGGGAGACTTCTCAAGTATGACGGAGATGCTGCAGAAATTCCTGTGTTTCATGAACCTCACGGTGAGACTTCACTCTTATTCCCAACCGTGGTTAAATGCTTCTCCACTGGCAGTGAAACTTCACGTGCAGCTTCTGTACGTCCCTTAGAGTTGAACAGACAATGGTGACTTTAGCGCTAGAATGCACTCCTTGCGTGTTTGACGTGCAACAGTTCACTGCCCATCATGTCGTTACCATGATTTAATTTTTTAAAATTGTATTTTGTTGCGCTTGTTGAGCATGCAGAATCGATAGTGCCTGCAAATCAATAAACTTCCTATCAAATGCCCACAAAGGCTCATGAGATTTGTAGCTTATCGCAAAAAAACATTGGCGCGTGTAGTTTTAAGTTAACGAAGCGTAGTAACATGCCGTCGCGCCATCTCCGTGTCCCCGATGTCCCGCGTTAATGTTTTGATTCCTCGCGCGTGACCGAGCGTACCTTTTTGTTGTTGTTGTTGTTGCTGCTGCTGCAGAGCACCGTGGGCACGACGGGCCAGAAGTCTATCGCACGCGTGATCGAGTGTCTGGAGCGCTGCTAGCACCCGCCGCCGCCACTGCCGCCGTTGAACCACCTGGCCCCCCCCTCCCACGTGTCATCGTCGCGCTTTTGCTTGACGTCCGCGATTTTGAGTTTTGCTCGGTCTACGTCGTACCCAGTCGCTAGCGACCAACGAGATCCACGCTCGTGCGAGGTTCCACTCAGTTTTGCAAAGACAGAGGTCCATTCTGCATTTGTTTGCATTAGTTTTTGGAATGTCAAATCTTCATTTGCATGTGACCTACCTGTGCAGTTGATTTGCTTAGAGTAGACTGTGAGTGTGCAATGTGCTGAATTGACTAAATTAAAAGTAATGTGGACAGTTTTTGAAGGTGATATATCTATGATGATTCTACGTGTACAGCTAAAATAATGCATTGTTTTTCCTTTTAAGACCTGAAAATTGTAAGCCATTAAAATCTATTCTTGTAAGCTCAAGGCAAAATAGTCATTCTATCCCCAAGTTGGTAGCAGATATGTAAAATGAATCCCTTTTTATGTAAGTACAATTTTAAAGAATACCATTTGAGTTCTCTGAATTTATATAAAGGAATTTGTTTAATTATTGCTTTACTTATTTAATGGACGTGTGGCTTAAAGGTATTTAAACAGATTTAGAAAAATAAAAATGCCTTTGTGAGCGCACACTTATCTCCCTATGGATCTGCATTGCATTCGGTGATATTGAACTACTGTGTCGCGCAGTCCGTGGTTGTTGCAGTTTTCAGAATGGCCATCTATGATGGCCACTGCTATCTAAAAAACAGCCCTGCCTTTTGTGTGAATAGTAGACATGGTGTGGAGTGGACTGGAGATAACGATAACGCTTGCATAATTGGTTAGTGGAGGGGATGGGGAGAGAAATTCTTACTCTATTTGGCCAGTTATTAAAAATAAGTTATTTTTTTGGAGATGGGGAAGGGTGGGGAAGGGTGGGGGGTGCTTCTGAATCAACTCAGGCTGTTGGCATTCTGATGTTTGTGGGTCTGGCATTAGCGAGACTGAAGAGGCTGAAATGGGACGTTCACGTTTCTCAGCTGCACAGAGCCACACGGCTGCGGGTCAAAAAAACAAGTGGGCTCTGCAACTTGGAGGACTCAAATCCCATACTTTTAGTAAAAAAAGGTTTTAAGTGAACATGACACAATGTGAATTTTTCTTATTTTGCATAATTTATCAGTAACTAAGTTATTGTTGTGAGATAGCCACCACAGTAAATATTGTATCCAGTCCTAACATCGCATCTCTCCCCAACTGGGTACAATTGTGATACGATATCTATAGCTGCAGAAATGTTGCGGAAAGATCGAAGTTTATTCCGCAATTCGTTACTACTGTTTTTTCTTATTGATTGCAGTATATATAATATTAATTATTCCAAGAATCTTCGCATTTTTCCACATCGCGTCAGAAACCCTTTTCCGCTGCCTGACCTCGCCATACGATCTAATCTTTCCAAGTGCCACTTAACGGCGAAGCCAGGGCAAGTCCCACTCAAGTGGTGCCGACCGCTGTACTTGCCGTGCCGGCAATACGGCGCGCAGAGTTCGCTCGGTATTTATTGGTGACCTTTGTGTCGGCGGTGAGCAAAAAAGCGCTCCAAAAATGGATCTTTCCGTTTTGCTTCGAAACATTCTTTCCCAAAACAAGGGGTGGGTGGGTGGAGGGGTTTCCCCCTTTTTGTACAAACCATATTTTGGCAATAAGAGAACGTTTTAAGGCGCTCGGCAAGTTTTCACCTCGGCAAATCTCTCTCACTCGCATGGGCAATTGTTTTTTATTAAGTTTGCTTCTCAAAAGTGTTTATGATTCATCATGTTTTGCTTGTATGAAAATGCGTTTTATCTTATTGCATGGTTTTTATTCACGTTCCGTTTTTCATACAGTTACGTAACTCTCTTCACTTTTACCCATTGACCTGTAGAGGCCTTCCAGAGGCCAAGCTTTGTACATATAGCGTGTTAATAGCTCTGCCAGATAATGGTAATCAATAGAGGTTGGAATTTGGTTTTGGATATGTGCAAGATTTTAGCTGGAAGCATTTTAGCACTGTACAGTCAATTGACAGACCTTACGGAGAGTGTTTAGCACTAGTGTTGGGATTGCATTTGATTTTCTGTACATATTTTACATTCAATAAATGTAAACCCGTTTCTGCCTTCCTAAGCTGGAAGAGTTCTTGCCTTGCAGTTCCATTAACAAAATCACAAGCAATGTGAAATGCATATACAATACACTGAAGCACACTTTTAAGATATTAGAATAAAGGGAATTCCAACAAGTTCATTTATAATACTGGTACACCAATTTACAATGTCAATGGTAAACTTAACATCTGCTTTTTTTCAAAGTGGGCCACTTAGTATAAATATTTTTTTATTTCAGGAAATATAAATAACTCATTAAGTGCAAATATCGTGTAAATCTACTTCCACTTTTGAGAGCGTCCTCAGCACCAGTTGAAAATTTGACCATTTCTTGAAACGAGTTACACCATCGCTGCCATTCTCTATCAGCAGAAATTTCATATCTTGTCTAAAAAGTCTTCAATCTGTGCAAAAAGAAAATCTGTTAAGCGTTGTAATTCACCTTGTGCCAACATAACTCACCACGTAACACTTTAAATCGTGCATAATTATTGTTTGATTGCAACAAATATCAACAAGATCATTATTTACTGGTGTGAGAGTTTCGAGGAGAGGAGAAGCCTTCAACGGCAATTGGTTCCACGAAACCGATCGGTAAGTGATTTGGTTAATAAGCGAGTATCGGAAATGCATGTTAAAGGCTTAATTCTATCTGATAGCATCGAAAGTTCACCCAAAACACGTACTTTACAATATTTATACAATTATATTAATACAAAGATACAACAAACAATATTACAAGAAACATGGTTAATGCATTGATGTTTACTCTTCCTACAACAGCCCGTCGTTAGCAGGGGAATGGTCGGTAAGCGAACACATTGGGCTCTATGGAGGCCCGTCGTTAAGCGATTAGTTGTTCACAGGAGTGGTTGTCAAGTACATGATGTCAAGTTGGGGCACATTCGGCTAATGTGATGCAAACAACGCGGTATTATGAGCATCGGCAAGGCCAATGACAATTTCCTCGTTCAGCGTTACTGCACTACACACGAGGAAACCAGTGTAAACCTTCACTTGTGGAGCTAACAGCAAAAAAAAAACTAATGTAACAGCTAAGATACACAAGTAAAATCCATAATCGGTGCTATATCTTCTTGGTTCTGTCGGTAAAATCACATAGATAGAAAATAAAAATATTTTTTTTATAATTTATATAATATATTAACATTTGCATGGACTGAAAATGTATGTGTCCTTGTTTTCAAAATCAGGGCGTTTGTGTACACAACACGGCAGGGGTGGTGACAAGGCCCAGATTTTGTGGTTTGCATCCGGCAAGCCACCCTGGTTATTACCGCAGGGTGCGTTAATCATTCAAATGCGAGCACCATCCGTTTCACAGTGGACATTAGCGATTGCCCCGGTTATAATTTGAAAAGAGAAGGCCATTGTGTGTCAGTGTCGTGATCTAATTTTGACATAAAAAAGAAATTACACGCAGAAAAGCATTGCCACCTACCGTGGAAGTCCTGCAACCTGAATCGGTGCCTTCGTGATAGCCCTGTGGTATACGTACGGCGCAAATACGAAATGTACTCAATTATATTTTTTATATTAACGCTGCATTTCAATGTAATTGAAAGGGCCCATGATTATCTTCTAATTATGAAGAACGTGTGTATATACATTAATCCTGTACAGTACGTAGAACTCAAGGTCAGAAACTCCTTCATAAATGCTACTGCAATCAATTTTTTGACAATGAGGACGAAACAAGGTAAGCACTCGGGGGCACAGTTATTGAGTGAGTACACGGTGCAAACTATACCCGGGCGCCAGGCCTACAATGAGTGGGAAGAAACATTTGAAGCATCTCACCTGGTTGATAAGCTCAGCCTGAAGTTCCTCGTTTGACTCAAAGTCTTGGCTGGCATCGAGCACCAAGACAGGAGTGTCACTGCTGCACGGGTGATGGACCCTGCAGAGAGAGAATTGTCGAGGTGCCAGTTAGTTAACCATCCACAGCTGTCAACCATTACGGTTTACGCCGTATTCTTGTCCAGGGAAATTGAGTTTTCAAGTCTATATGACGTACAGCAGCTTCAATACGGGTAAAAAATGTCTTTGTGTTTCTCCCTTGTGATGGGACTGTAGGATAAACGTTGAGATGTATAAGGGCACGGGTTGACCAATAAGATCTGAATTGGTCTGTAATAAGGTCGGGCACTGATAAGGGGTGGACTTGGCAGGCAGGTGACATGAAAATAAAGTGTTGGTTGTTTTTTTTGTGTGTTGACGAGGTAGAACATTTGAAACCAGTGGAGGTGCATCATCATCATACCGTATCAACCCATACGGTTCACCCCATATTCTTGTACAGGGAAATTGAGTTTTCAAATCCATACGGCATACAGCAGTTTCAATACGGGCAACATTTTTATATGTTTTTGTCTATTTGTTTGTGTTTCTCCCTTGTGATGCGACTTTGTAGGATGAACGTTGAGATGTATAAGGGGCACGGGGTGACCAACAAGGTCTACATTTTTCTTCTTTGTTCTTTCGGTAAAGTCACGTAGAATGGAAATAATAAAATAATAAAAATAAACCAATAAAATAATTCTCACGACGTTTCGGCCACAACGCAAGCAGCCGTCCTCAGGTGGAGAACAGGTCTGTCGAGGAGAATTATTTTATTGGTTATTTTTTTATTTAATTGTTTCCATTCTACGTGACTTTACCGAAAGAACCAAGTAGATGAATCCCTGCAGTCACGAAAGCTTTAAATTAAAAAAAGTAGGTCTAAATTTGTCTGTAATAAGGTAAGGGCACTGATAAGGGGATTGACCGGTCGGTATGGGAGCAAATTGTCGTAACATCGCGCCGAACAACACGTGGCACGACTGGGAAAAGGCATCCAAGAACTGTGGCACAACCGCGAAAACCGAACGCAGCAGAGCCACCACACATTGTTGACGTCTCTTTATCTTCCCCCAGGTTTAAGTTACGCTGCCTTGTCTACCCCACTCCACAATGAATATCGTAATGCACTTTCCCCATCGTCCGAGTGATAACGGCTTTTCTTTGTAAAAGCAACAGCAGAGCACAATTGTGCCGGGCCTTGCTACAATTAAAATATATGAATGGTTTCTTGACAATTGAACGGAACAGCACATGGCACCGGATAATTGGCTAAGAAGATTGCATGTTGCACAATGTGCACAAGGTCGAGAACAGGGGAGAATCCTGAATGAATTATATGATGGTGGGCTGATTCGCAGACCACATCATAATAAAAAGTATTATCAGCCACTCGTTTCTATTTGACCATAATTCACCACACTGGTCAGTGTGGGTTGACGGAGACTTGGACCATATAAATGCAATCTTCATTTGAAGCTTTCGTGACTGCAGGAATCCACTCTCTTTGGTTCTTTCGGTAAAGTCACGTAGTTAGAAATAAAATAAATCACGACGTTTCGGGCGCAACACAAGCGTCCGTCATCATCTGGTTTATTGTATATTTATTTTATTTTATACCTATGTGACTTCACCGAAAGAACCAAAGAGTACGTATAAATACAATGCAATCACGGATATTGCTGCACCGTTCTCTGCTGTCCACAATATTGCCCCGTAGCAGTCGCCCATCCAGGCACTGTCCAGGCTCAACTCGGCTTAATTTCTGAGCTCTGAAGAGACCGGGAGCATCCCGGGTGATTTGATCACATCGTCCCGAATGTTACGACGAAGCTTTGCAAATCTAAACCCAACGAGATAACTCACCCTTTGATTGCTCATGTTTCTAAGGGATCCTCCTCGCATGTGTAAATTTAGCAGATGTTTGGCAGCCCACCGTTTTCCACCAGGGATATAGGGGTCATGGAAACACATTAATCAAAACTGTTAGCATGTTACGGGTGAGCAGACACTTGTATATTATTTAACTAATCATGGAAATCATTAAGAGAAATTCTACCCTATTGTGAATGTTTTGGCTGTCTTGTGCATAAACATGCCGCTGTCATAGGAATGTAAACATTACAAAGCTGGCTCAGGCCTCTAAACAACACGTGCTGTGCTGCATGCTGATTTAAGCTTGGAAATCAGTTTAATTTAAATTTCCATTTAAAGCTTTCGTGACTGCAGGGATTCATCTTCTTGGTTCTTTCGGTAAAGTCACGTAGAAGGGAAGTAATAAAATAATAAAAATAAACATAATAAAATAATTCTCACGACATTTCAGCCACAGCGTCTCCCCGACAGACCTGGTCTTCACCGGAGGACGGCTGCTTGCGTTGTGGCTGAAACGTCGTGAGAATTATTTTATTGTTTTATTTTTATTATTTTATTACTTCCCTTCTACGTGACTTTACCGAAAGAACCAAGAAGACAGTTTAATTTAATTTATATTTCCTCATGTTTTCGTTCTCATCTTATTCATCAATGCAGCAAAGTCCACTTTCACCAACGCAGTGAAGTAGGGGTCAAATAACCCCGATGACCTGCACGGCATGGTGAGAGCCTCGTTCGGCAGTCAACTGGCAGTGGACCGGCCGATCGGCAAGTTAACAATAGAATTGCAAATTCAGTGTCAGCGTGGCAGGGGGGAAATGCTCGGGCATGTGTCATCAGATCCAAAATAGCAACGGCGACCGCCACTGCAAACAGCCCCCGTAGACAACTCCGTTTTCACTTCACTTCCCCCCTCAGCAGTTGCGCCCAAACTTCCAATCGGCTAAAGTCTGGCTCGATTACAGCAGCTTTTTTTTTCATTCACTGCTTGATGAGGGCCCTCGCTAAGCCATGCAGGTCGTGAGGGTTACTTGGCCATACGTCGGTGCGCATTGGAAAAGGCGAGGAACATAGAATTTGGGCATAAGTATAGTACAACAATGGATTGCCCTCTGCTGACAATGCAACTCCACGATGCAGGACTGTACCATACTCCGCTCCCCACTTTCACCAACCCACCAGACCAGAATGGTGAAGTATGGGCAAATAACCCCGACAACCCGAACAGAATAAGGGAGGCCCTCATCCCAGCAGTGGATTGACAAAACCGATTACCAGGCAGAGAGACCACATGCTCACTGCACCTGAGAACCAGATTTCAACGCGTGCTCTCAGCAGTGCCGACCCAATGCCCTGACGTGGTATTATCTCCCTTCACCAGTGGATCTTGTCAAGATTCACTTAAAATGTCTTCGCCCGCCCCCCGCTCGGCGACCTCGCACGTACACGGTCGTGCGATCCACCAGCCAGTCCTCGTGCCGCCGGTGCAGCGTGTCCAGGTACTCCAGCCCCACGCCTCGCTCCTCCTCCCGATTCCGCACTCGCATGCGCGCCAGGCAAGCCTGCGCACAAGTCGAACATCTCGCTCAGTTCGGTCGCACCATCTGCGTGGGCAAGTGCTGCGACAGAGAAATGATGCTGCTATCCGACGACACGACCCGGGAGACGTGCAAGGTTTGGGCCAATGTTGGCACGTGGTTGGAACTGTTTGTTTTTGCACAAACGTTGGCCCAATGTTCCATGTTTACCCGGGAATATACTGGTGCCGTACGATGTGTAAGCATGCTGAACTTCTTCTTGGTTCTTTCGGTAAAGTCACGTAGAATGGAAATAATAAAATAATAAAAATAAAACATAATAAAATAATTCTCACGACGTTTCGGCCCCAACGCAAGCAGCCGTCCGGAAGACAGCTTCCCGACAGACCTGTTCTTCACCTGAGGACGGCTGCTTGCGTTGCGGCCGAAACGTCGTGAGAATTATTTTCAGACTGTCTTCTCGACAGACCTGTTCTCCACCTGAGGACGGCTGCTTGCGTTGTGGCCGAAACGTCGTGAGAATTATTTTATTATGTTTTATTTTTATTATTTTATTATTTCCATTCTACGTGACTTTACCGAAAGAACCAAGAAGAAGTTCAGCATGCTTACACATCGTACGGCACCAGTATATTCCCGGGTAAACATGGAACATTGGGCCAACGTTTGTGCAAAAACAAACAGTTCCAACCACGTGCCAACATTGGCCCAAACCTTGCACGTCTCCCGGGTCGTGTCGTCGGATAGCAGCATCATTTCTCTGTCGCAGCACTTGCCCACGCAGATGGTGCGACCGAACTTAGCGAGATGTTCGACTTGTGCGCAGGCTTGCCTGGCGCGCATGCGAGTGCGGAATCGGGAGGAGGAGCGAGGCGTGGGGCTGGAGTACCTGGACACGCTGCACCGGCGGCACGAGGACTGGCTGGTGGATCGCACGACCGTGTACGTGCGAGGTCGCCGAGCGGGGGGCGGGCGAAGACATTTTAAGTGAATCTTGACAAGATCCACTGGTGAAGGGAGATAATACCACGTCAGGGCATTGGGTCGGCACTGCTGAGAGCACGCGTTGAAATCTGGTTCTCAGGTGCAGTGAGCATGTGGTCTCTCTGCCTGGTAATCGGTTTTGTCAATCCACTGCTGGGATGAGGGCCTCCCTTATTCTGTTCGGGTTGTCGGGGTTATTTGCCCATACTTCACCATTCTGGTCTGGTGGGTTGGTGAAAGTGGGGAGCGGAGTATGGTACAGTCCTGCATCGTGGAGTTGCATTGTCAGCAGAGGGCAATCCATTGTTGTACTATACTTATGCCCAAATTCTATGTTCCTCGCCTTTTCCAATGCGCACCGACGTATGGCCAAGTAACCCTCACGACCTGCATGGCTTAGCGAGGGCCCTCATCAAGCAGTGAATGAAAAAAAAAGCTGCTGTAATCGAGCCAGACTTTAGCCGATTGGAAGTTTGGGCGCAACTGCTGAGGGGGGAAGTGAAGTGAAAACGGAGTTGTCTACGGGGGCTGTTTGCAGTGGCGGTCGCCGTTGCTATTTTGGATCTGATGACACATGCCCGAGCATTTCCCCCCTGCCACGCTGACACTGAATTTGCAATTCTATTGTTAACTTGCCGATCGGCCGGTCCACTGCCAGTTGACTGCCGAACGAGGCTCTCACCATGCCGTGCAGGTCATCGGGGTTATTTGACCCCTACTTCACTGCGTTGGTGAAAGTGGACTTTGCTGCATTGATGAATAAGATGAGAACGAAAACATGAGGAAATATAAATTAAATTAAACTGTCTTCTTGGTTCTTTCGGTAAAGTCACGTAGAAGGGAAGTAATAAAATAATAAAAATAAACATAATAAAATAATTCTCACGACATTTCAGCCACAGCGTCTCCCCGACAGACCTGGTCTTCACCGGAGGACGGCTGCTTGCGTTGTGGCTGAAACGTCGTGAGAATTATTTTATTGTTTTATTTTTATTATTTTATTACTTCCCTTCTACGTGACTTTACCGAAAGAACCAATAAGATGAATCCCTGCAGTCACGAAAGCTTTAAATCGAAACATGCTGAACTTCTTGCACGTCTGAATGTAGCCAAGCACGCCAATGGTAGGTGCGGGAAATCGGAGGTACGATATTGCAGTGTCACCATACCGCTTGATTTGGATCGTCATATCATGATTATTTTTGCTCACAATATTGTTGCTGCTCATAATGTATTACATTTTACTTCCTGACAAACGTTCTAAGCAAACAGCCATTAGCTATTTTCTGGAGTATTTTACAGGATAGTGGTGACATCACATTGTTTTTACAGTTTGTATAATTGTGTAATTATTTACTGTCTGACAGCGTTTGTATAATAATGATGATTATAAGCGATAAACTTACAAGATTAGAAGACTGATGGTTTGCATCGTATTGTATTCATCCTACTCACAAAAGGGAGAAGTTTGATTCCCGGCTTCAGCTTAAATAATTATAATGAGTCGTAGCTCAACCGATCTTTGGGCCACTGACCAGCATGGTGAAGTATGGTCAAACAACCCCATGACTGACACAGCACGGTGAGGCCTTCATCCAGAACTGTCAAATGCATATAAATTCGAATTATTATTACAATGAAAGACCCAATGTAGATCAAGATAAAGATAACATCTGATGCTGCGGGAACTTTCTGTAACGATTGCATAATGCATATTGCATACGTGTGCCTCGTGCAAATTCTCAATTCGGAATGTCAAAGTCCAAAAATGCGCACGTAACTGAAGATGATGGCCCTTACAAGGTACAAGGTGACATCGACGTTACAAAAGGTAAAAGCTGACGCAATGTCCCTCCTCCGCTCGCACGCGTATCCGACTCGCGAGCGTGTCGTGTTCGTGGAACCGCTGACCTCTGGCTCGGCGCGAAGATAAACCATTCCATCCAGCTCGACGCGCTTGTCGAACTCCGAAAGCAGCCAGCCCTGCCCAACGCAAACAACACGCGGTGGAGGCACAGCGCCCGGGGTACAGGGTTCACGTGACACGGTTTGCACAACGGCTCCCCCCCCCCCCCCCTTTCTCCCGACCTCGGGTTTTCACGACAAATAATTGACAGAACTGCACTCCGAACGAAAACCTTTGAACCTTTCGCAGCAATTTGCTGCTACGACGTCACTGGCATTGTCTCGTACTGTGCCGTCATTACGTGCTTGATTAATCGCAGGACGGCAACAAAAAAATGGGGATTCCACCTGTTCCGTTCGTTACGGGATAGGTGTTTCCCTACGCACGTGTTGGGTTTCTCCAGGTGCTCCGGTTTCCTCCCACGTGTAAACATGCATTATACGGGCTGATAACACCGTTATATACAGAGAACTGCAGAGCTTGGGCAATTATTGGCACCTGCTAAGCTCATGATGCCTTGCTGCTTGTCCGTGGATCCTCACGCCTCTGAGTCGTTCTCGCTCTCTCTCTCTCTCTCTCTTTGAGGGCGAGCGAATACTGTGCGCGTTGTAAGTTTATATTATTCATATAATAAAAACGTGTTTTTTCTCAAGAGGCTTTGACACTTGATATACGTCGTCATACCTATGTCAGAGAGGCTGGAACACAGAGAGCCCCAGGTACGAGGCATGGAACGTTGGATTGATCTATGGAATTATGGCTTAACTCTCGCACTCACGACACACCAACTGAATCGGAGTTCGACAAGCGCGTCTTTTAAAATCGGCGCAAAATGTGTGCACATTGAATTCTGCCACATTGAGGCGGATGGCGCAGATGATACCATCTCACAACAAAGAAGAAACGACATGGGATGGCAAAAACAATCAAGACGAAAAAATACGATTCTTGAAACAAATCACAACTCTAAATTGTGACTGCTGTTCACAACATCCTCATTGGGGAGGAGAGGATGGATCTTCTTCCTTTTTTATTCTTCCTCAGTGCTTTGCTCTTCGCGGCTGTGGGGCAGAGGTCGCAATCGGGTACCCGATACCCGTACCCTACCCGATATCCGGCTACCCGTACCCGGCCGTGTATGGGTACGGGTAGCTGTTTGCGACCCTGGTGCGGCCGGGTACGGGTACGGGTAGGCCGTGAGTCACTGGTGAGTCACCGTTTGTCACTCATTTCCCAACGTCTTGTCTCTTCTCACAATTCAAGTTCCTAGAATCAACCCACCCGCGCCTGCAACATGGCTTCATCCCAGAGGTCGCAATCGGGTACCCGTACCCGTACCCTACCCGATACCCGGCCGGGTACGGGTAGCCGGGTATCGGGTAGGGTACGGGTACCCGTTTGCGACCCTGGTGCGGCCGGGTACGGGTAAGGAATCAAAACCCGTTTGCGACCTCTGCTGTGGGGACACAACTGCTCTTGCTGCCTCCGTGCGTCACCGCCTGCAGGTCCTGTTCTGCTCTTATTCCCTGATCTGTATCTAGGTCGGATCACTACAAGCCCAATTAAGTGAGCTTCAACACCTTATAGCAACGTGAGTGCACTGAGTTCCCTCTCGGGGCCTCAAGATAAGCGGAGAAAGAAAAAAATGGACCTGCTTGTCGATTGCATTTATGACCTTTGACCCCGAAGAGGACTCCAGTCATCCTTGCAGCAGCAGCAGCAGCAGCGGCGGCTTTTGGCTCGCCATCGAACAAAGACGATCACCGCATCGCCCGCACTTTCAGATGCGCTTCTGCGGCCGTCTGGAACGCTCTTCTTTTAGGAAGCCAATGGAGCTATGCACTTTTCAGTCATCTAGATTGAAAACTTATTTCTTCAGAACTGCTTTTTGTGTTTAGTTTGTTGTCCTTCCCCCCGCACCTCCGGTTAGCACAGTTGGCTACGTTACGGTGCGAAAGAAGTCTAACATACATACATAATACACAGGTGCACTGCGCGCCGTACCTGCCACTCCTGGTAGACAACCCACTCCGTGTCGTTCATGCTGCCCTGCTCATGCAGGCTGGCGGCGAACACGTACCTGCCACGAGGGAGCACAGCGGCAGCTTGCAAACCGTTCCGTTTACGCGGAGCGATCGATGGCGCGTGGCGTGATGGCACGGGCATCGGCGAAAGGAAAATAAAGTTGTTGTTTTTTGAGAATGGAATGCTGTTGAACTGCAAATTGTGGAATATTTATTTTTTCGAATTCAATGCGCAGCACATTCATCAAATCTGCGCACGTGTCCTTATTCTTAAACAAGTGTGGGGGGGTGGGGGTTCTTTTTAACAAAGTTAGCCGGGGTTTGTAATGAAGTTGCACGCGTTCTGAAATATTTCCCACAATTTAACGAGTTATTATCTCAAGGAATTATTTGGTTTTGACCAAAAAAGTGTATGTTTTCAACTTGGCGTTTACTGGAAATGAAAACACTGGTTTGCGCTGGACACAAATTTGTGGCTGCATCACGGTAAACGTTGCAACAAGGAGTTAAATAATAGCATGGCGAATACAACAATTGAATGTCAAGTTTACTGAGTTAGAACAACAATAAAAATGTGAGGTTTTTCATTACAGTTCAATTTCCTAAAAATCCAAAGCCGCCTTTAAAACATTTACAGTTGGTTACGTAGAGCATGAACAAATGTACAAGCCACGCCACTTATGAAAGCTGTCAGAAAACTCCACGCTGCTCATTGTGAAGTTTTAATCTAACCTTGGGGGAACAAAGACAAAGATCCCCCTGTATAGCCTGAACAGACTGTTGGCGTAAGTGCTGAGCAACACCCGCACACACACCACTGCTGTATTGCAGCTCTCTTGGAAAACAAAAACACCAATACTGTCACTTCCAAAATGTCCAAGAAATTTCAGTTAAATTACCACCGTTTCAAAATTCTATAACTTCCATGGTATAAAATGGACCACGATGTACTCAATTGCTATGACAGAGCGCACTCCCAAAGTTGTTTTCCCGGTACGACAGGTAACCCGAGCTTGACTTCGTTCTCATGACAGCGAGTCGGACAGCAGATATGACACTTGAGGGACGGTGAAAGATGTGGAGTGGCTTTTGGATAGAAAAATCTCCCTTGGCTGTGCAACGTCGTTGCTTTCGCAGCGAATAATTCAAGTGGTCTCGTAGTTCTCGGCAGAAAGTCAATTAGTCAAAACACTCGTCAAAATGATTCCGCGGCGACTGGAAGCGTGTTCTGGACGAGCATAACAAGCGGTGTGTACGCAACTCCAAGCCCCGTCATCAACAAGCACAGAGGTCACACTGAGTAGGTGGCTTGCACGGAACCTGACTTGGAAATAAAGGACTTTTTAGAGTGTGCTCTGAAAGGTCAAAAATATAATTATACAGCCCTGCTTATACTTGCTCGTGCCAATGTCGACGGAAGGACCACCACCTATAACGAGTATTTGGCCTACTCTTCCCCACTGACAAGATGTCTCGGAAAGAGGTGGGAGCATCCACACTTTCGCCCACCGCATGCGTGAACTGCCGATCGACTAATCGTGGTGTACCCACCGCTGGGTGGGCAGAGGCATGAAGGAATTTAAAAAAAATACTTGTCCACTGCTACAACTGTAACGCTGTTTCAACTGCCATGACTGTATCTGATCACTGTAGAATATAATAAACATTGACGTGCACCATATGCAACGGTAAATCAGTTTCCGCGGCAGCTTTTTATACTTTATAAATCATGGAATTTATAAAAGGTGGAAAATTGGCTGAAACATTCTTTACAATATCATTCATTATTATTACCATGCTTTTCTTTATCCAGGAGAGCCTCACGATTGAGTCTCATGACGAGAGTCCTGGCAAGTTTTCACGGTAAGGGGGGGGGGAGATAATTGCGACGTACAATCCCAATCAAGTAATTGAAAATATTTTAAAGTAATAAATTAACCAACTCGAACACGCCGGAGGTGGCGTGCACGCGGGCACACACCTATCGCTGTAAATGGACCGCTCCAACACTTGCACTGGCTGTGCGGAGGGCGGTACGCTCAGCTGCGCGCGTATTCGGCCCATCGCTGACAGCGTCTGGAAGGTGTACGCCCAGCGCGACGCGTCCGAGTAGAGCATCTGCAGGAGGTTGCCCCCCACATCCTGCCACGGCCCAGGAGCGGGAGGTGGAGGAGGAAGAGGAGGAACCGACAAGAGACGACCAATGGGTTGAGCCAGCGGTCGGTTTCCGTACCGATTGCTGTAGACCGAGCGCTCGTAGACTGTGTGACGCTCGGGAGGGTGGCTGGCAGCGAGAGCGATTTGCAGACGGCTCAGGGTCACCCACGTCTGGAACGTATAAGCCCAGCGCTTGGGGTCGCCCAGACGCAAGCCCAGGAGGTTAGATGCCGCCCCCATTTCGGCCGGCTAGCGGGAAGGGCAGGTGAGGGCATTATAACGTTACAGAGTTTAATATTCGCTTTCTTGTTCGTACTGTTAACTCCTTCCAAATGCAACTTAAGAAATAGAGTAGGACAAACTAGACGACTTAAGGAGAGCTGAGCATGAACAAAGATTGGTTAAATGATGCACGAGCTGCAAATCCAGTTTGACCAGTTGCATCCTGCAGTGAGAGGGTGCTTCTCCGCTCCTGTGAGCGTAGGGACCAGGGTTTCTGGGAAGGGGGGGGGGGTCACGGTACCATTGATCCCGGCTGTCCGCCCACCACGTTCTGCCACTTCTCCAGAGGCTCTGGGACCACGTGCCAGCTCGGGCGTAACTTCTGCAGCACCTTCACGAGCGTCGACTTCCCGCACGCTGGAGAGAGAGAAAGAGCAGCGACGTCAAGCATCAGCCACGCCAGGCGTCGTTCACGTGTATCGCTCCCACGTGGTTTTAGGGTCTTGTGGTTGTTGGTGGTTGTTGTTGGTTGTTTGACTTGCATCCCACTGGAATTTTTGCACACAGCGTTGGTGTACGGTGTTTTTTTCTGCAATATTTTGCTGTCTTTTCTTGGATTTTCTGTTTGCACTCAGTCACATATTCACTTTAAAATGTTTTTTTTGTTCATGTTTTTTTTTGTTGCGGTTGCACCCGATTCAAGAGCCGAATGGCTCACAGGGCTATACCTAATAAATGAACTTTAACTTGAACTTGAGGGTTGTAACGCGCGTTTTTCTTTGTACGATATATGACGTATTGGCTCCTCGTGCGGAGAGCTTCATCGGAAAAAAGATTTAGCTCTATATACGTTCGCAGCACGTGGAGCGAAGAGGTCAGACATCGTGCCGAACAACTCGCGCTCCAACACGTGAACATGCGGAGGAGCTGTGTACTGTGAGAGATTCCTGAATGATAAAAAAGTGACACGTGTATAGGAGGCCGATCAATGACGTTGCCCCCGGCACACATATTGATCACACGCCACACTTGGCGCTCGGTATAAAGTTCAAAGGTGATTAACTGTTCAACCGTTTTAGACAAAGCACAGTTGCGTCGGAGAAAATACTTCGACCAAATATTACCGGATAAAGTACTCGACAACCAATGGATTGAGCGAGCATATAGTTTCCCCAAGAAAGTGATATTGCCATTGCAAGTTTAAACGTTGCCAAAACAAAGACGAATGCATTGGCTGAATGTCAGCAATTCAAATACATGACATTCAAAATAAAGCAGGGCTGCATGTTTGATGTGAATTCATTAGAACATGCCAACCGTGGGGATGTATATGCATGCATGTGTGTTATATGCATGTTGAACTGCTTTCGCACCCGTACGTAGCCAACCGCGATAATCGGACGTGCGGGATATTATGCCACATCAGCTGCACTCACAAGTGGCCATCTCCAGACGGTACACAAAATCACTTACCTATGTTGCCTTCCACCGATATCTTCTTGAAGCATCTCGGCCTCACAGAGGAGTCGGAGGTCTCCGCCATGCCCACTTCGGCCGTGCTCCAATGGAGATCTGCGAAGTCAAATCTGCATTTCGATTTAAAACTTTCGTGACTGCAGGGATTCATCTTCTTGGTTCTTTCGGTAAAGTCACGTAGAATAGAAATAATAAAATAATAAAAATAAAACATAATAATATAATTTTCACGACGTTTCGGCCACAACGCAAGCAGCCGTCCTCAGGTGGAGAACAGGTCTGTCGGAAAGACAGCGTCTGAAATTTGTGGCCGAAACGTCGTGAGAATTATTTTATTATGTTTTATTTTTATTATTTTATTATTTCCATTCTACGTGACTTTACCGAAAGAACCAAGAAGGTCAAATCTGCAGTCAACTCTCAAATTATCCCTGGTAATCTGCTTCTTTGCTCTGGATATAAACTACAAACTACTTTTTATTTTACCAGGTCAGGCCAAATGAGCTGCTATGAAGCTATTTTTCAGAAGCGACCTGGTCACAAAATGATAGCTCAACGAAGTGGCTTATCACGTGGAAATGTTTCGCAGCCAAATATTCTTAACGCACGTTTCTAAACGTGTACGTAAAAACCGGAGGGCCGGGAGAAAAATCCATGCATCCACGGGGAGAACATGCAAACTCCAAACAAACATACAGGCATCAAGGTCGGGACCGAACTTACGACCTCCTGCATACTAGGCGAGGGAGTTAACATCTCTCCACCACGGCGCCCTCAATATGAATCGAGTAACAACTATAATAATCAATGTCTTGGTTGTGAATCCAACTGCCAGTTTCAGAGGACAGCAAGTACGTATGTTGAACTTCTTTCACAGCGTTCGTAGCCAACCGCGCTAAAACGGAGGTGCGGGGGGAAGGAAAACGAGTGTGAACCACTCGCGCCCTTGAAAGATCGTCCGCAGTGAACACGGCTTCACGATTCGTTCCACCTCTTTCTTGCAGTGCGCCGAAAGTGCGTTTGGCCGATTCCCATATTTTTCCTTGCTGACATTTACAGTCAGGTGGGCACTGAGTCACTTGAGAGCCCTCAACGAGTGAGGAGCGGTGAATGACAGAACCAGTTTATGCGTAAAAATATTGAATTTTACATTCCATGGACGCAGTTAATCTGCAACCCTGTTGATCCAGTCACAGATAATCGAGTTAATTATATTTATTTATAAGCCACGGACAAACAACCATTTAAAATATGTCCCCTAATGCCTTATAACAGACTCCATAAACAAGTGCTGTTAAATTTCGATTTAAAGCTTTCGTGACTGCAGGGATTCATCTTCTTGGTTCTTTCGGCAAAGTCACGTAGAAGGGAAATAATAAAATAATAAAAAATAAAACATTAAATAATTCTCACGACGTTTCGGCCACAACGCAAGCAGCCGTCCTCAGGTGAAGAACAGGTCTGTCGGAAAGACAGCGTCATTCAGACGCTGTCTGAATGACAAGTGCTGTTACCCAACACCTACTTAAGGCCAGCATGGCAGATGATGGGGTGGTGTAGCCACTACCATACTTGACCCCCTTTGTCTCACCAGTGCTTATGATCAAATAACTCATCAGGTATTAATGTAAAGCCTCATTGACCTAGGAGAGGAACATGTCAGGCTGAGACACCAACTGCCCACTGATGGTGTGCATCACCGGAAATCTAGCCTAGATCACAGGCAATCATTGCGCTGCATAAACCACTTTGCCCCCATGCACGCTCACGTGCTGATAAAATCAGGTGCTCCTTTGGAGCGTGTCACGACAAGTGTTATAAGAGAGCACCTACTGAGGCTGACAGTGCCTTTTTTGGTGGGGCCAGGACCATGCCCTCTTGACCGATGACGTGCCCCCATTAGAAATGCTGAACACATAAGACACCCACACTCATTTTTGACCGAGTAACATTGAGATATACAATTGCCCCAAATTTCACATACCAAGCATTGATGACTTATGTATTTTCCTTAACTTAATATTCAGATTTGGTTTCTGATACCACGCTGTAAAGAGTGTCCCAGACAGTACGAGAATCATTGATACGATTTTAAGTTTTAAAAAAATGGTACAGTACAGCAATTAATTCTAGATTTGAAGCTTTCGTGACTGCAAGGATTCATACTCTAAGTTCTTTCGGTAAAGTCACGTAGGTAAAAAATTTAATTAAAATTAATAAAAATAAATTAAAAATCACGACGTTTCGGAGGCAACACAAGTCTCCGTCATCATGATGACGGAGACTTGTGGAGACTTGTGTTGCCTCCGAAACGTCGTGATTTTTATTTTATTTGTATTAATTTTAATTTCATTTTTTACCTACGTGACTTTACCGAAATAACTAAGAGTACAGTACAGCAATTCTTATTCGTAATTGTATATTTGTTATTTATTTGTTCAAATCATGTAATATCGAAGTCTCGGCTCTCCAGTTGCCTGCGTGAAAGGTGCCGCTATGTCCTTGCTCAAGCCTGGCCAGCCTGGCTAAAAAAACTCAATACAACTAAATATATGTACGACTCGTTGTTCATCAATTCATCTCCAGACTGCTCAGAGCGGGTTGGTAGAATGGGCAGGGGATTTGGACGGAAGAGGGACGCGGTTTAGATATCATTCGCCACTGATATTTGCTTGAATTTTGTTTTATTCATTTTAACTTGCACATCTGGCGCTCTAACTGTATGACAGCCACGTGTAAAAGCATTCGCGTAGTACACTGATGTGAGCCGTGGCCTGGAATCCAACTCGTATCGCCAGGTCCACGGTTCAGTGTGCGACCCCGCTGTGCCACCACTCCACCCGATTACCATCAATACGTAACATTGTTGTTTTATTCGTATATTTTTTTAAGCGTACAGTTAATTGTTCACACGAACAATAGAGGGATACCATGCTTGCGTGTTATTTTGCACTGGCAGTACATTGTATCCACGCTCTTCGACAAGGGATGATGGCCGGTGATCGAGACTAACGACAGAGTGGCAGTCAAAGGAGGGAGCAAGCCCGAGAGCTACGTCTACGGCGGAGATGGAGCGATGACATCAGCTTATGTGCAGGAGCTGGATTTATTCTTGCATTGCGTGACCGTGAGAGTTTGCAACAGCTTGAGGAGGTCTTCGGTGGCCAAATCATTGGGTGCCATGACGGCGAGAAGTTATCCACCTCACCTGGTATGTCGGGGGTCGTGGGTTCGATCCCGACCCTGACGCATTTCTATTTGGAGTTTGTATATTCTCCCCCTGGTAGGGTGGATTTTTCTCAGTGTCCTCTGGTTTGCCCTCCACATTTACAATCATGTGTTTAGAGAATTTGGCTGCTATATAGTTCTACATAACCCAGTTCGTTGAGCTATCGTTTGTGGCCAGGTCACTTCTGAAAAATAGCTGTATAGCTCAGTGGGCCTTACCTAGTAAAAATGTCGTTTTAGTTTACCATGGCTAATGAGGATGACGAGTTGATGACATTCGGTGACATCATCGTTAAAAGCTGCTAAATAGTTACCGGCGCGTTGCACAGACACTCCACGTGGCCACACAAGACAAAAGATCCCCACCGTATAGCCTTAACAGACTGTTAGAGCCAGTGCTGTAAACGAGGACCTATGCAGGCTGCCACAGCACACACACGGGAGTCCGTGTCGCCTGCACCACCTTTGTCTCACGCACCGAACCAGGAATTCAGACACAGAAGGCCCCGAGATTGGCTGAACTACTTCAATAAATAACCTCACGTTAAAGTTGTAATTACAGCATAAATCGGAACGTTCACATTAATAAATTACGCGACTTTAATCTGAACGATAACTTCAATCTCTGCTCCCACCCGGGTCACAACTCTGACCCGTGTCACGTGGCACGCTCCCGTAGCCGTCAATCACCACGGAGCGAGTCATGTGACCCGTCAGCGCACGTGCTCCCCGAATACAAAGATAAAGATCCCCCGTGTAGCCTTAGCAAGCTGTTGGGGCAAGTACTGTTAGCGAGTAGCACATATTAAGGCCGGCATGGCACACGCGGGGGTGGGTGGCCAACACCCCCCCACCCCTTCACATCCACAAGTCGTAGGGACAGGGAGGGGGGATTGGTCCTTTGCTCTGAACGTATATTAAACTTCTTTCGCACCGTACGTAGCCAACCGTGCTAATCGGAGGTGCGTGGACGGGGGGGAAAGGGCAACAAACTAAACAAAAAAGAGCAGTTCTGAAGCAATGAGTTTTCAATCGAGACGATGACTTAAAAGTTGCTTCTGAATATCGGAAGGAAGAGCGTTCCAGACGGCCGCAGAATCAGCACATCTGAAAGCTCGCTACGCTCCTTGGTGGACGTGGTTCCAGCCCATCCGTTACAATTGGTCGTGAGCGGCAATCGAACTCGGTCCGCCGGTTTCTTGGTGCAGTGCGGCGCTAACCACTGCGCCACCGCTCCTCCCCACGTGGCCACACAAAGACAAATATTCCCCCGTAAAGCATTGGCATGCTGTTGGGGACAAGTGCACGCCACGCCAAGGTGTGTGTGTGTGTGTGTATGTGTGTATGTGTGTGTATGTGTGTGTGTGTGTATGTGTGTGTGTATGTGTGTGTGTATGTGTGTGTGTGTATGTGTGTGTGTATGTGTGTGTGTATGTGTGTGTGTATGTGTGTATGTGTGTGTGTATGTGTGTGTGTATGTGTGTGTGTATGTGTGTGTGTGTGTATGTGTGTGTGTGTGTATGTGTGTGTGCGCCCGATTAGCACCGCGCTTCCGATCGGCACGGTTGGCAACGTACGGTGCGAAAAAAGTTCAACATGCGTACACACAAACACGCCCGGATTCAGTTTGTCTCTCCCAGTGTTGATGCTTTGTTTTATTACACACCGCAGCAGATACCCACTTTAAGGCTTGAATCGAACTAGGTGAGACCCATAACCGGTTGGGTTCAAAAATTCCCCGTCATTATCGTGATCGGTCGTGGAACTCTGGTCGCCGGTTTCGTGGTGCACGTGCACCGACGGCGCTACCACAGCGCCACCGCTCCCCACAACATCACAGGGCCACTCTCGCCCATGCTCTTGCTGGTAAGGGATGAATGGAGTGGATGGAGCACGCCAGCGTGACACACGCACAATGAAGCTCCCCCCACCACCACCCCATCATGGACCCTGGCGAAAGTGAAAGGGTTTAGGACAGCGTTTGTTGTTGTTGTTCGCCAGTGTTCCTTATTGCAAGGACCTCGGGCCCACTGGCAAGACACGACGTGTGTGTGAAAACACCGCCCACCACCATCATCATCATCACCGTGCTGCTCGTCAAACCCACAACAACAGTTTCAAACACGTGTCGCCCCTCCTGATACCGACGAACCCTTCTGAAAGTGAGTAAGGAACACTGCTCTCTGTGTTGACGGGCTTGTGGCCGGGTGGTTTGCTCAGCGCGACGATGTCCGACGTTTCGCACCACGCGCTGCTGGCGAGCTCGCCCAGGAACGGCAAGCAGCTGCGGAGTCGCTAACGTGCACGACGTTGGGTTGACGTTGTACCGACGTTGGGTTGACGTTGTGGACCAACGTTGTTGCGTGCTTACTGGCTCGAACCGTCGGACATTGGGGGTTGCTCCACTTACTGAAGCTCGCAAGCAATCCGCTTGGGACTTCATGCAGAACCCAAAAACACCGCGGCGCGACCCGAAAGCACATCACCTGGCACCGCTCGGTGGCGGCTGATGACTCAATGTCGACACACAGTACACGCAGCAGCAGTACACACAGCAGCAGTAGTAGCAGCAACAGCAGCAACAGCAGTACACACAGCAGTAGTACACACAGCAGTAGTAGCAGCAACAGCAACAGCAGCAGCAACAGCAGCAGCAACAGCAGCAACAGCAGTACACACAGCAGCAGTACACACAGCAGTAGTAGCAGCAACAGCAACAGCAGCAGCAACAGCAGCAGCAACAGCAACAGCAGTACACACAGCAGTAGTAGCAGCAGCAGCAACAGCAGCAGCAACAGCAGCAACAGCAACAGCAGTACACACAGCAGTAGTAGCAGCAGCAGCAACAGCAGCAGCAACAGCAACAGCAGCAACAGCAACAGCAGCAACAGCAACAGCAGTACACACAGCAGTAGTACACACAGCAGCAGTACACGCAGTAGCAGTAGCAGCAGCAGCAACAGCAGCAGCAACAGCAACAGCAGTACACACAGCAGTACACGCAGCAGCAGCAACAGCAGCAGCAACAGCAGCAACAGCAACAGCAGTACACACAGCAGTAGTAGCAGCAGCAGCAACAGCAGCAGCAACAGCAACAGCAGCAACAGCAACAGCAGCAACAGCAACAGCAGTACACACAGCAGCAATAGCAGCAGCAACAGCAGCAGCAGGAACACAGCCCCCGTTCAATTGCCCCACATGGTTGCCCAAAGCAGGCATGTTGGCCAAGGCGGCGGATGCGGTGCAAGTCTCCTAGGCGCCGTGTTTTTCCCCTTTGTTGTTGTTGCTGTTGCGTCTGTGTTGTCGCCTTACCTGCGAGGCGATGAGGTGGTGATGGTGTTGATGGTGAGGAGGAGGAGGAGGGTGATGTTGGTGTTGATGGTGAAGAGAAGGAGGAGGGTGATGGTGAGACCGGCTGCGTGTGGGAGGAGGATGATGAAGACTCGACCGGCACCCAGCATGGAGAGCTGTGGGGGTGCCGGCGTTGGGAGGGACGGAACACGCGGAACGGAGCCACCACTTCACGGAGCACGGAGCCGAATCCATTCATTCGGTCGATCACTGATTGAAGTCTCCAACTCTGATTCTCGACGTCTGTCTGTGGCCTCTCTCGATGCATGTGCTACTAAAAAGGGGCATTGGCCGAAACGTCGCCCATGAAATTTCGTTTTCATTTTAATGGCACGGTGGTATGGACGAATGTATTGAACGTGTTGCTGCTACTTGCCTTGTGGATCGTGGAGAGATGGCAGTCATCCAGCAGTGGAGTTTTTATTTGATTGCGTCTGCTCACGCATCATTTTCAAACGTAATATTACAATTAAAAAAAAACCCTTAAAAGTCCTGGACCTTGTGGTTTTGTTTCACGAATCCATTCCGCATTGCCAGGAGATCCGTTTCAGACTTCCGTGTAAAAAACTCCGCTCAGGGCGTCATGTGATGGTGATGCACATCTCAGCCTTTTGAGTAAACACGCCCGTGACATGCATGACCCATGTTTAGTCCGGATAAAATTACTCGAGCAACACAAAGACGCGAGTTTAGGGATAATAAATTAGCAGACAATCTCTCCTTCATATATCCGTCTCTGCACGTGTTGTTGTTGTTGCTGTTATTGCAAGTATTGCTTACACAACCCATCACATGCATGCCTTCCGTATAATTTTTGCAGGATTGATTCAGCACAAGCAACATTCTGCACCGGTTTCGACATACGCCCATTAAACACGAAACGTCAAAAGGCAAATGTTTCGAACCGCATACCGACGTTAGCCCAACGTTGCATGTCTGCTTGAGCAGTGGTGTCTCCATCACAAGTCAAGGCTTTCGTTTAATCAATGCTGGTGAACTTCCGAGTTGTCTCGAGGCAATGGCCCTCTCTTTACAATGCGGGTGTTTAAGTGTCACGAAATAAGTGGAGAACCAAGACCCTGCAGCCCCCCAACGACCCCGTAAAGCCACAATTTTAATTCCCACAGAGCGTAAAGTGCTGCATCATAAAGCATTGCTTTGTATTCCACTTTGCGCTTAGCTTAGGGGCCGTCCATAAATGACGTCACGCGATTTTGGACGATTTTGGACCCCCCCCCCCCCCTTCGTCACACGGCGTCACAAAAAGTCAGACCCCCCCCCCTCAAATATGACGTCACAAAGCTCTGCCCCCCCCCCCCCCAAAAAAAGAAAACATGCTCCAAATCGCTTTAAACTATTGTCATTGTAGTGCGTATTTAATGTGGCGCTGCACTCTGATGTTGTAGAAGAAAAACGTCTATTTAATTAAGTAGAACGTGTTGTCTATATTTATTTAAAGTTGCGCATTTTGATGTGACGTCACATTTCTAACCCCCCCCCCCCTCGTCACACGTCGTCACAAAAGTCTGACCCCCACCTTGGTGCGTGACGTCATTTATGGACGGCCCCTTATGTTTTAATGTATTTTTCGTGGGTCTTTTTATAACACATCTACCGACTGCCTTCGCTATTGTGGCTGTTAGTGTAGCATCATCGTCTTCAGGGGGTCATTCTTTTGATCAAAACCTCGACAGCTTCTCACACAACAGCAAATCCACTGCTGGATTAAGGTTATCCCAAGCCACGTGTATATAGTATTGGCATTTGCCGTTAACGCGTTTTCAATACATCTAACCGTTAAACTAATACATTAACTACCAATGTATGGGCTGTATGTTGAACTTCTTTCGCACCGTACGTAGCCAACCGTGCTAATCGGAGGTGCAATTGCACAGCACAAATGCATCACGTATTATCCCGAATAACATCCCACGTTGTGGTCATTTGACTACCTTTTATTTAATTTTATCTTTCGTGGGCTGTGCATGAAATTTCACTGAGAATGGTCACAAATGCACACTCCTTTCACCTGAAAACGGTCGCTTGTTGTTGCGATCGAAACGTCGTGATCTATTATTTTTGCTACCTACATGACTTTACGGGAAGAACCAAAGAGTATGGATTCCTGCAGTCACAAAAGCTTCAAATCAAGAATGCACACTCCTGTAGAGATGAGATGATTGCAATCTGGCACTGCAAATTACTGCACTGAAATCAACTTACAGGCACTCCTCTACTTACGAACGAGTTAGGTTCCAGAGGTCTGTTCGTAAGTCCAACTTTACTCCTGTCGATTCCAAGCATGTTGTACGGCATGCACACTAAACACGGAAAATGGCTTAAAAAGTATTACAATCATCCTGTAGATTATACTGATTGTTCGTGTTCTGCACATGCAGATGCCGCCACCACCGAAATCTATTGCGCGGCACTTGAACTTACGACTCTCGGTCCAAACAGGCAACTGGAAATCCGGACAGGTTTGTTCGTATCTCTGAAAGTTCGTAAGTCGACTATTCGTAAGTAGAGAAGTCCCCGTGTATGTCTTGGTGACGTTGCAGGGTAGATCGTTTGAGCTGGTATTTGGGCAGTTACCCTCGATGTATATTTCATACAAGTTCTAGTTTCTCCTGGGTTTGAGAAATTGGCAGAGTGGTCTTCTTGGTTCTTTCGGTAAAGTCACGTAGAATGGAAATAATAAAATAATAAAAATAAAACATAATAAAATAATTCTCACGACGTTTCGGCCACAAATTTCAGACGCTGTCTTTCCGACAGACCTGTTCTCCACCTGAGGACGGCTGCTTGCGTTGTGGCCGAAACGTCGTGAGAATTATTTTATTATGTTTAATTTTTATTATTTTATTATTTCCATTCTACGTGACTTTACCGAAAGAACCAATAAGATGAATCCCTGCAGTCACGAAAGCTTTAAATCGAAATTTGGCAGAGTGGTGTTTGCACACTTCATGATGAATACCGGCAGCTCGCGTTGGATTCCCGGCCGCAGCTAACATCGGTGTGCACGCGACATCTAACCCAGTCCGGGGCCTCCCATGTCATCCAACCCACAGGGGCCGGATTGACGAAGTTATGGTTAGATATCTCTCACTACTGAAATGGTCTTGAGGGGGCCAAGAGCCAGCAATGGATTGACAAAGGCCTGTAAACAGAAATTCTAGATTTGAAGTTTTCGTGACTGCAAGGATTCATATTCTTAGGTTTTTTCGGTAAAGTCACGGAGGTAAAACATTTAAATTAATGAAAGTAAAATAAAATAAAAATCACGACGTTTCGGAGGCAACACAAGCTTCCGTCTTCAGGTGGAACCGTCGCAGCACTTGATACAGCAAGCGTGCTGTGACGGTTCCACCTGAAGACGGAAGCTTGTGTTGCCTGTAAACAGTTTTGCCGATCCGATCTCACTCAGACCGACAGGCTGGTTAGGAGAGAGACAATGCCATGGATGTTAAAGCACGGTGGTTTTAGAGACTGCGTGGGAAATGGCAATCAGGGGCCATGCAATGGGTGGGTGGGATATGTTCATAAATTATCCCAACATTCCTGTCAGTTGCTGCAAAAAAACCTGTCAAGCTGGATGTTGCGAGTATTTATAGAACAATTGCATGACATGAGCTCATACCATTTGAGGCTTTGTCTGAATGAAGCAAAGTACTGTAGTGAGAATATTAAGCAATACTTTTTTGTATCCATGTGCTCTCTGCGATTGCTAGGGTTGAAGTCCGATGGAACGTGTATCTGTCGCCGACCTATGGCTTATATCGTAGTAGTGGTGTTTATAAAAAAAAAAGTGTTGCTTTGGTTGAGTGAGTGCAGAGGGAGGTAAAGGCTGGACTACCTCTCTTGGGACCCATCCGTTATTTTTCGAAAGCTACGCGCATCCGTGCTGCAACTAAAACACGCCGTTACGAAAGGCAGTAGAAAAATCACCCCATTGGAAACAAAAAAGGTGATGAACATGGAAGCTGCACCAAGCCAGAGGAACTAAGATAGACCATAAGGTGGTTTAAAATGGTGAAAATGGAGTGTGGATTGTGGAGTGGACATGGAGTGATTGCTCAGGAAGGCAGACCCGAGTGGGGGAAAATAGCAGGAAAAAGCAAATATATTATTTTAGTTCAAAGCAACCATGTAAGGAAGGTCAATCATGTACTATGAAGGACCATTTCTTGAAATGTCACAGATTATTCTCCTTTATAAGGCAGTGTTATTGACGAATGCGTTGGTTTTTTTGTTACCGATTGAAGGTGGGAGCTACGATAATTGCCGTAACTTTTCACCTCAATCCAAATGTTTAAACATGTTTCCATGCACGCAACACAGGCTCTAGAACCAAGAATTGTTTTAATTTGTTGAGCACTTTACAATGTAACAGACATCCAAATCAGAGTTCAAATGATTGCAGGCAAAAAGGCGAGAGGATAATGAAGAAAATTAGCACACCTAAAATCTCCCAAGGGATCGCCAATGCCACATATGCCAGGCACAGACATCACATTTTCAGTATTGAGATTTTTTTATTGGGAGATTCCCCCACTTATGTTGGCAAAACCACCAACACTATCATAACGTTATTTAAAATCACTGCAACATTATGGGCAATGCTGGAGGGAAATGTCATTGGGGCATCCAGAGATTAGCGCTACCACCGGCGTTTCTTTAGAAAATGTTAAATCGTAACTGGAAGTGCCACACAGATAACCACCAAACACGGCCAAATCCACAGCCACAGCGTGACAACACTCTTCACACGCACATTCCCACTTCCACACCTCATCAGTTTAGATGGCTACATAAATATATTATATAATTACATGTATATAAAACCTACATAATACAGCAGTCCGGGCTATTGTATTTGTCAAGCTAGACTTGGGAGTCAACCTGTATAGGTACAGTATTTCATAAAGGGCATTGCACAAAGATGAGTTCATGCAAAACGATTCACACTGCGTTAAGACCGTCTTAACTCTGGTGCTGTACGAACATACTTTGGCACTAGAAAACTAAAACAAAGTTTGCCTAGTACACACATTGCAGCAGTTGAGAATTTTCACGTTTAATTTCATCGTGTGGTAGAGAAAGGATTGTGATCGCCTTTCTGTATTTGTATATATGATAGGGGCATATACACAATAAGCAAATATGTATGCAAATAGTACAATATTTTTCCCCACTTTATAACTTACCAAACAGTAAGGCTTAAAACCATGAAACACGTGACAAAGGCTGTATCCAATATCTATTGTTGAGTCTCCCAGAAACTTAGGCTCCACAGAGTCTATTTCAGTAAAATGATCAAAATATCTTAGTGTTAAGTGTTGAGCCCATCACCAACAACAGGTAGTTGATCATTAAGCACGAATCAAAACATTAAGACCAGAATCCTGGTGTTCCGTGGCGAGAGTGTACGAGCAGGGAGTGCTGCTACCATGCTGGGTTTAACGTGAAACTCCATAGCAGCACAGACAACACACACAAACGTACAAGGAGAAATCAAACCTAGGAGGCATCACAACCAACTAGCTTTGCTCTCATCATGATCTCTGTATTCAAAAAAGGTCCAAAAAATGTACTAGTACAGATAACTTGTCAAGCTGTGAGCGACTGTCTTAGACACGTTTGAAGATGCTTAATATACCCTATGTTTAACACCGTTTCTTAGAATGCACTTATTTGTCAGTCTTTTTTTTATCATGTTATACACTTACCCAGGAGCTAGACAGATAATTTCTATTATATTGCAAAATAGCTGCGGATATTGTGTTCTCATTAAGGGATTAGAAAGAGGTTGGGAAGGGTAATAATGATCATATTTCTGTATTTACATTCTGAAATATCAGAATAAACATAAGCACAATCCACAGAAGTATTGGCAGTCCAATTTTGCAAACAATCGGTCATTTCCAAAGCACAAACTGTACATAAGCTCCCAAAGCAAAAAATTTACACAGCTGCTTAAGCATGTACTGTACAAAGTTCTATGCACATGTTGTATCCCTGCCCGCGCTTACACTTTGAGAGGAATCGTCAAACTAAAGTTTGTTGTGATGTGGCAATATATTTCAGTCTTCATTTAAGCGGTAACCATCTGGGTAGTTTACAGTAAAAAAAGCCTTGCATGTTTTTGCACAGTCGTAGCCAAACTGAGGCAAGCGATGCTAGTGGCTGTGTAGGTCAGTTGATGTACTGTGACATCCAACGGAAGCCTTCTCCATATCCCTGTCGCTTCAGCACGCTGCACATGAACACCTCCAGCGGGCGAGTGTTGAGGTCTTTGAGTGGGATATTACCCTGCTCACACAAACACGGGGAAGGTGGTCAATGATAAGCATCAACATACATACGACAGCGCATCGGCTCACATACACGAACGCAATCTGCGTGTATATTATGTACACAAAAACATTTTCAATAATTAATTGGGCATGTAATGATGCCGATTCATCTAGGAAATGTATTCTTATGCTCACGACTCATCCATTAAAATAGTGCATGTTAGAACAGATTTACTATTCATCTACATTATCACAAATTACATGTTAATGGTACATTTAGGTCAATAGAACAAACAAAACTACAGAAAAAAATGTTGAAGCAATAGCAACAAAACATTACATTTGACAAAATAACTTTCACAAATCCCAAAGCATGAGAAGTCATACAAATATTGGGTGGAATTTTCCAAATCTGAAAAAACACCACCAACAACAAACCAAAATGCGACACATTCCTCCGATGACAGGGATGCAAATAAATCCACACGCTTAAAGAGGCAAAGCGGCAGGGCCTGGTTGGTGCCGTACCTTTCCAGTGGTCTGGCCATAAAGGCCAAACACTTCACGCAAGCGCTCCTCGCTGATCGCTTCTGGCCGGTCGATTTTGTTTCCCAGGATGAGGACGGGGACGTTGGCGATCGTTTCATCCGTTATCAGAGCCTGCCAGAAAAGGGAAGAGAGTCGTCATGGCATATTTTATAAAAGTCCCGCACAGCCCTGTGAAGTTGACATCACTTAATGCCCAACTCTCGAGTAAAATCCGCACTGTGGCACACATGCCATGAATGAATAACCACTGTGCACACAATTGGCCAGCAAGGCTGGTGAGCTCAAGTTCAACGTTATTGGTGAACCTTTAAGGTAAACCAAAACAAAATAAAATGTCGAAACTGGTATCGCTGTATATAAATAATTTTTAAACTCATTAATAACCAGCCATTTGACTGAATGCAATGATTATTCTATTTTTGCTTGTGCACCACTGCCAACGGCAGTCCCTTCATTTCTTATTCTATTTCAACACAAACTTTATATTGTTGTCAAGGCAGTGGCAAACGCAGGCGTGGGCCTTACATCTAACTCTTTCTTGGCTTCTGTGAGTCTCTCATGGTCTGTGCAATCCACAAGAAAGACCACCCCATCGATCGCAGGTAGGTAGTTTTTCCAAATCCTGCGTGCTGAAATCCACAAGCAAAAGACAATACATGTATCAGTTCACGTAAAATAAGTTAATTCCAGTGTGGTAAAAAGCTGATGTACTTATGGAAGATAACTTCTGAGAATGCCAGTGTGTTTACCTTGTGCGTGGCCACCCAAGTCAAAGGTGGTAAAGGTCATGCCAGCCATGGTCAACTCTTCTGAAGCTGAAGAGAGATCATAAGCATGTTTACATACAGCTTGTTATTACACACTTCAGTACAAGCACAAATTATAGAGAGAAGATAGACATATACATTTTTCAAATCAGTATGGTGAGTTTGAATAACTTCCTTTTAATAATTTTCACGTTTAAAATGTTACCAGTACAATTACTCTTAATAAGAGCCTACTCATTACCATGCTGATTTAAATATGAGAAATGCTCTTGATCAAAAATTAATTTATTTAAGTATTATTTGATCATGTTCACGCTACAGTAATGCTGAGAAGCACCAAGTCCAGCACATTCAAATAAAAAATATATGAATATATATTTTTGATCGAAGACATTTTTGTTTGACATGCAATCAATGTCCACTAAAATTAAACTAATTATACGTCAATTTATAACTTCGAATTTTTTTTTTATTTAACAATCTTATAAGATAAAAAATGTTTAAACCCTCGAGCATGAAGTGCAATCTCCAATTACAAACCAACCTCTACCCTATCTCAGTGCTGTGAAACAGGGCCATTTGCCCAAAATGTCAGCCGGTATTAAAGAGATGATGACCACTCTTTATTACGTCACTTGTAAAATCCAGGAAAGCTTCGCTTTGTCTCTCTTTCTCAGGGGGCGGTTGAGCGTTTTTAAAGAAATAACCATGTTCTGTTTGTGAAGCTCACTTGGGTGCAGGGTAGGAACTGGCTGGCCCATTCGATCATCCTTGAGCATGCAAAGCAGCGTTGTCTTGCCAGCATTATCCAACCCAAGGAACACCAGCTTCCCAGACTTCTTATACAGGCCTAGAAGACATTCATTTGTAAACCTTCGATTAGCATTTTACTTTAACAATGTATCGCTAACCTTTGTTTTCAATCAAGGATCACAGTTGGTTATGTAGGGTAAAATATTATGAATGTTCGGAATATGCTTAGGGTTCATCTGCTGTGGAATCCTGACCAATCTCAACCAAGCTTGGTAAAATACAATTATTTTCGGAATACCAAGAGTATCACTTTACACAGCCAAGTATAATGCACTGAAAACCAAGAATACCATTTCACATACAGACAACTATGCGGAAGTTAACTCTATATATAATATAATTCTTTTTTTGTCCAGGAAAGATACATAATCATAGAACTATTTTTCAGGAGGGTCCAGCATTGGTAAGATGTTTTCAGCCAATTTATGAGTCTTTATACGTGTGAGAGGACTCTGGAGTACCCGGAAAAAAGCCCATGCGTCCATACAGATGAAAACCTATGAAGATTGGGCAACTTGCTGTACTGCCTTCTAGCGAGGCAGGGTATGTATGTTGAACTTCTTTCGCAACGTACGTAGCCAACAGGGCTAATCGGAGGAGAGGAGCGGGGGAATGACAACAAACTAAACACTAAAATCTGTTCTAAAAAATTAGTTTTCAAGGGTATGGCACTTAGACGCCCACGGGAAGGGCGTTTCACAACATGTGTGATCCACTAACCCTCGCGTGCGCCACCACCAATGACAAAATTAAATCAATGGGAAATACAAAGACAGTCATAAAGATGAAACCATGGATATGAAAAAAACATAAGCAGGTTACAGACATGACTAAAACTGTTAAAAAGTCGGCTTTGGCAGAACATATAGCCAGAAGGGATAATGATTGATGAACAAGAATAATTATGAAGTGGCACCAATTAACATCCAAAAGAACATCCAAGGAGTAGATGGAGCAATGAAATCAGCTCGTGTGCAGGTGTGAAGTGGACTTTACATCAAAGAATTGTGAGGAATTACAGCAGCTTGGGGAGGGCTTCATCCAGAAGTGGATTGACCGTGGCTGCTCATAATGCATAAACTTTTTTTTTCTACAACTTTGTGTACATTGTGACCCCTTGCCCCGTTTGTCAATACTCACCCAGGAACTGCAGCATGCTGCTGAACCCTTTATAGATCCACGAAAAAAAGAAGGACATCTCTGATAGGTAGCGGGGGAAACTGCAAAGGCACTGAGTTCTACGAAACAAAAACAAAACAAGAGCAACATTTACTCGTATGAACAGATCTTTCTCAAAAGCCAGCCAGCACTTGTGCCCTAGGGACACGAACGTGTGTGACGAGTGTACAATAAGCGAGAACATTTGAACTTTGGGTACACGTCACTAACAGCACTTGCCCTGATAGTATATCTGCTGACAATCTTTGCCACCGTGTAGGGAAGCGGTGTAGTTGTGGTTCACAGACTTTGCTGAAATCACAGCCACCCCAATTCAATTCCTGATTATGAAGCTTAACAAAAGGTGTGCATGTATAGCCATGTTGTCAAACCACTGCTAGATGAGCACCTCCCCACACAGTGTGGGTCGTGGGTGTTATGTCACCATAATTCACCAGGCTTGTCAATGCGGGTTGGTAAATGCGTGGAGCATAGATATGAGGATATGTTAGTGTGGTGCTCACCGATTTAAGCACTGTGGTAGCAATATCAAAACTTGGTCTGGGCCTTCCCTAGGGCGACATGAGCTTCACTAGGTCGCCTTGGCCCAAAACGAATACTTGACAAGCTGTGGGACACAAACATCCGCATCGCAGAGATGAAACAGTCAAGACTGAGTGGCGCTACCCACACCCGGCACCTGCCACGTGAGACACACACCGGTATTTCTCAATAGGTGCTCGTCAACACGACAGCGTGTGCGAGAGGCTGTCTCAGTATGCACGAGGGTGCCCAAACCCAGCACCGCTGCTGTACGCAGCGTTATTAAAATAACGCGATCCACTTTCTATGGCACGAACGCCTGCATGACAACGCGCTACAAATAGCACAAACAGGGTGTCGTGTGTCGTGACGTGCGCACGAATCTGACTTAAAGACGTTACCCAAGAAACAAAAAAACACTTGTTATATTGCGATTAAAGCTTTCGTGACTGCAGGGATTCATATGCTTGGTTCTTTCGGTAAATTTACGTAGAAGGGAAATAATAAAAAATAAAACAATAACATTCTCACGACGTTTCGATTGCAACACAATCATCATAATCAGGTGTGAAAACAGCAAATTTTCTTGCTTTTTAAAATTTATTTTTATTATTGTATTTTTTCCCTTCTACGTGACTTTACCGAAAGAACCAAGAATACTTGTTATATTGTAAATATATGACCTGGACCGTGTGCTGGGCAGTGAGAAACTACTTTTTGGCTTCGTTAATAAGACAAAAATTTTAAATTCAGTCAGGGGGTGTTGCCAGAGCGTTCCAGGAGTGCGACTGCATTGGTGTCCATAAACTTAACAGTGATCTTAAAATATTGTCTCAGTGCACTAATTGAAATCGTGTCTCACCAACAAATGTATGTTTTGGGTTACAACCTATTTCGTTACTTAAAAATGATATAGAGGGACCAACCACAAGTCGCGCTCAAACTAAAGAGGTCAGTGTTCAAAAACTCCACATTCATCTGATAGGCGTGAATACATACACACAGGATGGGAGCATTATTAATGTTACAATGTAACGTCCTATCCACCTTCCATCGTACAAGTGTCCCTTACACATCCCACAGGAATGTGGCGATTCCACATTCCAATGTAGTAATTCTATATCGAGTACATCTCTAACACAACAACAACACATTTTCCGAGGAATTTACTGGAAACGAAAGCGTTCACCGACCAGTAAGACAGCGATTGTACCAACAATCGAAACGTCGTGATTTATGATTTTATTTCTATTATTATATTTGTTATTTTCCTTTTAACTACGTGACTTTACCTAAAACAACCTCGGAGTTCTAAAGACGAAGTCCCCACACACTTCTCAAATCGGGAGCTTGGTAACGCGACGTGGGATTAACGATTTGCGGCGTTAAGCTTACCTAGCGACGGCGTGAAACTTGTGTGTCTACTTGGGATAGGCTACGGAAGTGAAGATGCGGAGACGGTGGATAAGAACTACAGTAACATTATATAACAAAAGCACCCATTCTCTCAGGGCGTGAAATGCGTAATAATCGGTGGCGCGGCTGGACACGACGCGACACGCACCCAGATTGAGTCTCACTCCCGCGGGGTCAATCTCACGTCTCGAGGTCTCTCACTCCTTGCGAATAAACTCACGAAATGAATGCCTCGCCCCTCCTTGAATGCCCCTCGAAATCTCAGGCGACGAGACGAGAGATCAACCTTGCGGCGGCGGCCGTCTCGCCACCTCCTCGGACATCAATCTCGGGCCACGATTTGAACCCGCCTCGATCGCCTTAAACGCCCGCGAGTTTCACTCACGCCTTTGTTCATGACGTGTACCACTTTAATGACGATAAGAAGTTATATCATTAATTATTATTTTCAATAAAAAAAACTCTTACTTTTTCTCCCTTCCCGGGTCACCCACCCCGAACCCCTTGCGGCCTAGGCTCCCCTACCCAGCGACCCTCGAGGTCGGCGGCAGCGCATCTATCCGAGGACCGCCCAAGGCCCGCCCCCCCCCCCCCCGTCATTCCCCGCCTACCGGTCTCGACGCCACGTACCTCGGGGGGAGAGAGGCGGGTGGTGGTGGTGTGACGACGACTACGACGACAACGCGCTGCGGCTCAGGAAGACATGCGAGAGGGTTGGTGGTGGTAAAGGGGGTGGTGGTAGGGGGCGGTGGTGGTGGTAGGGGGTGGTGGTGGTAGGGGGTGGTGGTGGTAGGGGGGTGGTGGTGGTGGTAGGGGGTGGTGGTGGTGGTTGTTGGTGATGGTGGTGGTAGGGGGGTGGTAGTGGTTGTAGGGTGGTGGTTGTAGGGTGGTGGTGGTGGTAGTAGGGTGGTTGTAGTGTGGTGGTGGTAGTGGTGCTGGTGGTTGTAGGTGGCTGTGATGGTGGTGAGCCTGCGAGTGAGAGACGCAGCCGGGCCGGGGATGGAGGCGGGCGGGCGGGCGGACGGTGACGACGACGATTCGTGAGTGAAGTTCACGCGGAGACGACGAAGATGACGACGACGGGGGACGTGGTGGGGGGGGGGGACACGAGCAGCAGCAGCAGCAGCACCCTCCTGACGAGGTCGCACCGCAGTGACGTTACGAGAGGAGGCGGGGGGGGGTAGCAGGAGGGGGGTAGCGGGGGGGGGTGGTACGGGGGATGAGGGGGGAGGGGCCTCATCCCCCCGCCCCCCGCCGCCGGCTTCTTGGGTTTCAAACACGGGGCGGGGCGCGCGCGCTGTGTGCGTGGATCGATTCTTTTAGCGTGGATCGACTCGATTTAAACACGCGCGATTCAGAGTATCGATTCTTACTCGATTCCGAAATGAAAGATGTTGGACCACGTGAATTGTTTTTTTTAATATCAAAGGGTTTTTTTGCAACTCGATTCTCAAATTCTTTGGATTCTCAGGTTGAGGGATGCAACGTTAAATATAAGCTAAGCGCTGGGGGGGTGGGTGTTTTTAAAATAAGTAGACTAGCATTTATTTTTATTTGTAACCATTCGCCTTTGACGATGTGCTGTGGACTACCTCGCCTGGTGTACAGGAGGTCGTGGGTTTCATCCTGACCCTGACGCCTGCTGTGGATTTGGAGTTTGCGTGTCTCTCATCATCACGGTGGCTAGGAGATGTTAACTACCTCGCCTGGTGTACAGGAGGTTACACCAGCCCACAGGGGATTATTGTGTCCGTCGTGCAGGGAGGGGCTGGGTGGGGAGGGAGGGGCTGGGTGGGGAGGGGCTGGGTGGGGAGGGGCTGGGTGGGGGTGGGAGGGGTGGGGCTGGGTGGGGAGGGGCTGGTCACCCCGTGGTGCCCTTATAAAACTCAACGTTTAACCTACTCACGCCGGCTTGTGCCCGCCCTCACAGTCGGGCATATTTGCGGAATACACCACGCCGCCGTTGACCCTGGCCATTGACCGAGCAACCCAACGTTCCTACCAGCTCCCTCCGCAGGAATGTGTTATTATCTGGGTCTTTCGGTAAAGTCACGTAGATAGGTTCAAAGAAAATAACAAAAACTACGTTTCGATCGCAACACAAGCGGTCGTCATCAGGTTGCGATCGAAACGTCGTAGTTATTTTCTTTGAACATATCTACGTGACTTTACTGAAAGACCCAAAGAATATGAATTGCTGCAGTCACGAAAGCTTTGAAGTCAAGATAGACAATTACTCAGGAAAGACTACAGATGAGACAGGGACAAACAAACTAGACACTTGTAGACATGACACGGTACAGACGAGACACAATACACAGACACATTACAGACCAAGCAGTACAAGGGAGAATTGAGACGACAGGGAGTTCTAAACAAGAGAGTACGAAACACATTCCTGCGGAGGGAGCTGGTAGGAACGTTGGGTTGCTCGGTCAATGGCCAGGGTCAACGGCGGCGTGGTGTATTCCGCAAATATGCCCGACTGTGAGGGCGGGCACAAGCCGGCGTGAGTAGGTTAAACGTTGAGTTTTATAAGGGCACCACGGGGTGACCAGCCCCTCTCCACCCAGCCCCACCCCTCCCACCCCCCACCCAGCCCTCCCCTCCCAGCCCCACCCTCCCCACCCAGCCCCACCCAGCCCCGCCCCTCCCACCCAGCCCCTCCCCACCCTCCCCTCTCCACCCAGTCCCACCCCTCCCATTTTTGGATGCACGACGGACGGACGGACACAATAATCCCGCGGGGGCTGGTGGAACCAGGTGGTTCCTACCAGTAGAAGAGTTTACATATGAGGTAGGCCTCGGCAAGGTAAGGTAATTGTACCCTTTTTACCGGGTAAAAGGGTAAAGGTAAAGATGTCGACGTGCCAAGGGGTAAGGGTAAAGGGTAGGGTAAAAGGTAGGCTCGTTGTTTTTTACCTTTTACCTTACCTGCTAAAGGGTAAAAGGTAGGGTAGAGTGATTGGATTGTGGTAAGGTAAAAGGTAGGGTAAAGGTAGGCTCGTTTTTACATTTTTACCTTACCTTGCCGAGGCCTAATATGAGGGTAGTAGACAATACTGATGAGAGATACAAACGAGACAAAACAGTACGGACAACATTGAACATTCAGAATAAGACCGTACAGGGGAAGACGCAGTGTAAGACAAGACGTGACGACTGATGATACAAGTACTGATGAGTACTCAACTGATGAGACAGACCATACACATGAGAGCAAAGAATCACTTGTTGAATTTTGATTCGTATTATAACTTCACTATCACAGAGTATTACATTTTTACATGCGCAATGAGGTCATTGTGCAAAACAAAACAACTTCGTAAAAGGACACTAGAGCAGACGCGGGTCTTTTACAACACCATAAAATAACAGTTGTATCAGCCAAAGGACCCTGTTGACTAATATTTCACAGCAATACAGTATCCAGTACTTCATTTCCGCAACCCTTGGGAGGTTGGGAGAGGTTTGGGGTGTTGTGAGTCATGCATTCCCCATTTCAGGTGGGTGGGTACCTTCAATCGCCAGTGATTGGTGTGAAATGTTGGCATAAGTTCCACGTACATCTTCACCTCAATGGTATTTGGAGCCTAAGATATGGCCCTCGGTCATGTGCAACTCAGAAAATCAGTTGGTGTCTAGAAACTAAATGTGTGGGTGAATAACAAAAACGTGAATGTTATGGCTTGGGAGGCCTTCCAGGATCGGATACAGCAGTGGCTTAGCTATCGAGTGTGCAGGCGGTGCAACTGCACTGGAGTCCAAGGGCAGGTAGCAATATGTGATGAGGACATTGGAGAGGTGGGCCAATGCCAACCACGCTATGCCACTTGGATTAGGAAATGGCTGGGTATCATGATAAGCTTTTCACAGGCAAATTGGACCGGGTTGAACTTTATTTTTTTCATCAGCACTGCGTCACCTGCTGGATTGCCTACTGTTCATACACTAATTCCACGTAAATAAAATTGTATTGTTTTATTATTATTTTTTGTTATAGTCCTGAAATCTATGCGCTTTCGGGACCAATGTTTAACAGCAACATTTAAGCAGGTGAACTCTGGACTGGTTTTAAGGTTTTGAGTCTTCTTTTCCTTTAGTGACAGCACAATACATTTTAACACCAAATAGGCAAATACACTTTCTGCCCAAAGTAGGTGCCGTTGAATCGTAGAAAACAATAAAACGTTTATAGCAAATGTAAAAAAAAATCATTCTTTGAAATAGTTTTCCTATTCAAAGGTATAAAGTCTTGAGATTTTTTTTCAATAGATGCATATAGGATAAAGTGAATGAGAAGTTGTCATTTTTTTAAATTCTGGAAATCCAGAGGTAAGCAAAGAGCCATCTGCAGTGCTGGGACCGTTTAATGGAGTACAGCAGCACAATAAAATTAGTCTTGGTGGATTGTGAGCAATATAAAAATAAACAAACTAGGGTCTGTTTCACTACCAAACAATAAACTATTAAAATCCACAGAAAATCCTCTATTTATTGTGGTCGCTACACGTACTGTTAAATTGTTACGGTGTGGTGGTGGGTGGCGCTCTGGGCTGTTGCTACCAGGCTCTGTGCTTGTGGATGCCACTCTTCTGATAGAGAATAATCTGCTTTTGGTCCTTGTGCTACACTAGGGGTCTCACAACTCTACACGATACAGCCTTGAGCCTCCACTTTGCACGACGCAAACCTATGATGTTTTACATCTCCCTTGAGGAGTGCGCCTTGGCTTTCAGGAAATAGGACTTGCTCAGCATGTGTAACTGTATACATCAGTGGTGTTGATTTACAAGACCCACCACTTGTTGATGTGACTCGGTGAAGCTGAAACTTGCAGCAAGGCTCCTGCCCTGACACTCAGATAACTCAAGAACCATCGGATTATGAGAACAAATCTTGCTCACTTAATCAAGTCACAGGTAGTTACAGTTTATACTCTATAATAACCAAGTAAAACAAACTACAAGAACGTGTCAATAAAATGCAGAATGAAGGCCTTATGCCATCTCAGACAGTGGAATGTTTTTGAAATCCTTTATATTAAGTTCGCTTGCTTGCTTGCGACCGTGCAAATCTTTCGGTCGTTTTTTAACCCACTTCCCGTGATCCAATCGAGCTGACATTTTGCACAGACTCGTTGTGCGAGACAATTAATGTTCGTGAAAAATGTTTTCAAAAATTTTACACTGTTTAGGGAAAACAAATTAAATATTTAATTACCAATTGCTTAATACTGGCAGACAATCATCTGACCCATAGGTGGCAGCCATCTCAAGCCAGAGGACGAGAGGACTCTAGCCGCCACGCATATAAAGGATTTATAGTGAAAAACGTTCTTTTTACGGGTTATACTTATTCCATACCTCAGTGCGCTGATCATTGTGGTTTGGCGAAGGTAAGATATCACTGGCCACCAATGTTAGCCGTGGCCAGGTATTAAACTCAGGTCGCCAGGTTCATAGGACAATTTCCAAACCACTGTTCCCCAGCTCTACCCCAAATCATGCTCATGGAAAATGCTACCAGTAGAAAGCCAATGTGTTAATACATTGCAATACTGTACTTAATTACTATAATCACTCACCAAGTTCTAAATATAGCTATATATTTTGAAAGGACAACCCCAGGATTCAAATCCATGCACTTTTGTTAATGAGCTTGATTTTCTAACACCATGCCTGGGACTACATAATTATACATTTTATTTTCATTGATACTTTTCAGTATGTTAGGATTTGTCTCGTGTGGTCTCCTGCTACTGTACAGTATATTGGCAAAATACCAACACCTCCACTTAATATGAAACTCAATACAACTTAAAATAAATAATGTGTGAAGACCAAACTTACAAAATAACATTTGAAATGCAAAGAAAGTTTCCCATTTTTTAAAAAGTGTGCATTATATAATATACAGTAATTAGCATGGTAGAGCGGTGGCTATTGCATTGCACTACGAACCCAGCCATGTGGGTTCAATCCGTGTCACTGCTTACAGCCTTACACCAACCAGTCTTGTCCCCCCCCCACTTCACTAACCTGTACATTACGAACCAACGACAAGTAAAACAACCCCCAGCAGGGGACTGACGGTGGTGTACATTATCTTAAACTAGCCACATCTTAAAATAAAAAGTACAGCTACATATTCTTGGTTCTTTCGGTAAAGTCACGTAAAAGGGAAATAATAAAATAATAAAATTATAAAACAATACAATTCTCACGACGTTTCGACTGCAACACAAGCAATGCTGTGGATTTAACGTTTCGACTGCAACACAAGCAATGCTGTGGATTTCACACCTGATGATGATTGCTTGTGTTGCAGTCGAAACGTCGTGAACGTTTTATTGTTTTATATTTTATTATTTCCCTTCTACGGGACTTTACCAAAAGAACCAAGAATATAAATCTCTGCAGTCACGAAAGCTTTAAATCAAAAAGTACAGCTACAATTAGAACAAGAGGCATGCCAAAAGTCCATATCTTTATTAAATCAAATAATAAAAAACAAAAGGGAACACGACACAGACCCTTTTTTGGAAAATCGCGGAAAAAGGACCCCTCCTCCAAGCTGCGACAGCGCCAGCCGTGGAATTGGTGCAATTTTTTGTTATTTACACGAGCCACAAGATTTGTTTTATTTCTTTCAAAAGCAGTTTCACACAAACAGAAGTTAAAGTTGGATATTTCCCTTGATGCATACAAAATGTACAAGTTGTGAACCAATTATCTCAAGCGATAGTTAGCCGGACGACAATTTAGAACATTTAAAAAAACGATGCAGTGTCAAAACTTTTGATACTTTTTTTTGAATTCTCCATAAAGAGAAATGTTAATGACAACGATTTTCAGAGAAAAGTCCGTAATTTCATATGCAATTCATATTAAATAGTATATAGTTCTGTAGATATGCTAAACAGACAATATTTGTAATAAAATCCTACAAGGGTTGCAGCTGACATTGCACAATAGTGATGCATAATAATTTTGCTCAAGTTAAGTTTTAGTAAAAACAGACTGGAACGTAATTTTCTACAACGGAAGTGATGTCAAAATTTCGTACGCAACAGAACAACATCTGGAAGTTATTCAAGCAAACACGTATTTTTTTTTTCATTTTTAGTCTGTCAGCGTTTTTTTTGTCGTTTTAACGAATCAAAAACATCCAAGGACAAAGGACGTTAAGAATACAAAGTACACGTAAGATCACGTTTCAGAAAATAAGCATCTGTCGGAAGCAAACAAAACAATTCCAGTCCTGAATTTTTTTCACGCCATATTGCTTCCCTTGGGACCTTAATGCATTTTGGTCACTTCAGTGGTCATGGCGAATCAGAACAAAAAGACAATTTTATTTTGGATCTTGCAATGTAAATATCTGGCTTTAAAAAAGACAACATCTCGGCAGTACTACAATATAGTTCAAAAAAGTAGATAAAAACAATAATGTGCACTTACTTTTCAAAAATAAGTTAATGGCACATCCTCGTGTATTTGTTCAACTGACATTTAATCACTTAATTACACCTGTTGATGAAAGGTAAAAAAAAATGTAATAACCAAAAGATGTTAATCCACTCAACAATGGCGAACAAGGCACTTGCATGCATGTTATCATCATCATCATCACACAATGGCAAGATCAGTTCCCAAGATACAGGACTGAAACACTGTGCTCATCACTCTAAATGTAAACCCAAATCGCCCCCTCCGGACGATATGTTTCTCAAGTACACACGAGGGCAGCCACACTTAAGGCTTTTTTTCTTACAAACAGCCGGATTTCATTTAGAGACTAATGGTGGCGGCGTGATCAATGAATAAGTAATTCTTATGGAGGTGGTGATGAGTTGACAAGATGGGGGCGCCAATGTTGTCTTGGAAAAACAGCAACCTGATAAGAGGGGACATCAGCTCATCCAAATTTCACTGATGATACATTCACAGATAATTAACATTGGATACAAAGCACATGTTTTCTCAATAATCGCACTGTTAAATATGCTTTATCTCATAGAGATACTGATTTTGCTCTTTGGAAACCAGTTGTTTTGTATGATTACCACAGGTGCCAATTCATCTTATGGTGTTAGGAAAACACATTTTGATGCACCACTTGTATTTGACAATGAATGTTGCTAATGTTCGACTATCTTCTTGGTTCTTTCGGTAAAGTCACGTAGAAGGGAAGAAATAAAATAAAAAATAATGAAATAATTATTATATTATATAAAATAAAACATAATAAAATAATTTTATATTATATTATTTTATTATGTTTTATTTTTATTATTTTATTACTTCCCTTCTACGTGACTTTACCGAAAAAACCAAGAAGATGAATCCCTGCAGTCACGAAAGCTTTAAATCGAAATTTTATGTTCGACCAGTGCCTACTAATACAAGAATAAAAGGTAAATATAAAGGTGCAGCCCTGCAATTGTTTCCTTTACGGCACTGCTTGCGGGAAGGGGCCTCCACGAGAGAAAGTTCTAGAGAGCCCTTCCTGGAGTGTGTATTTGGCCTCCTCTCGCAGGCCAGACATCTTGGAAGAGGTGGGATAGCCACACTTTGCTCCACCACACATAACCTCTTCTTGGTTCTTTCGGTAAAGTCACGTAGAATGGAAATAATAAAATAATAAAAATAAACCAATAAAATAATTCTCACGACGTTTCGGCCACAATGCAAGCAGCCGTCCTCAGGTGAAGACCGGGTCTGTCGGGGAGACGCTGTGTGAAAATCCCAAGCTTAACTGAGACGCTGTCTCCTTGACAGACCTGGTCTTCACCTGAGGACGGCTGCTTGCTTTGTGGCCGAAACGTCATGAGAATTGTTTTATGTTTTATTTTAATTGTTTTATTATTTCCATTCTACGTGACTTTACAGAAAGAACCAAGAAGATGAATCCCTGCAGTCACGAAAGCTTTAAATCATACGAAACCTGTCGATCGACCAACTGTGGCGTTCTCGTTTATATTTCTGGGTGGACAGAGGTGGGGGAGATTAACAAAAAAAACATTCCGCATTGTTTAAATTTTCCCAATTAAAAAAATATTCCTAAACTTAATCCACCGATGCGATAGTGCACATCTAGAAAATATTTTCTCGGCCAGACTCGTGTACAGTACAACATCACATATCCGCCCTGACTAAATAATAACCCACATCCAGTGCAGTATTTGTGTGCGTGGGTGTAACAGTCATTTTCTATAGATGTTCACAATTCCGATATTTTAACGCACAGTGATGTGTAATTAATCTCGAGCACATTTGCTTGCTACTATAGTACAGTGACGCATGTCCGCGTGCTTAAAGCAGTTTGCGCGTAATTTTCTTCAGTAACATAGTTGTGCATTGTGTAACTGACTTTTCCTATAGATGCTGTTCATATATCCAAGCATTTTACAGATCTGCCCATACTCTCAGTCCCAAGCGAGTCGGATATGTGAAGCTGTACCGTACAGTTAAGCTTGGGATTTTCACACAGTTATCCATAAAAGCCATTGAGCTACTTGCTGTGTAAAACGGGTGGTTAAAATATGACATTCTGTTTGTGTAAAAACAAAAGCCAATATTTCTAATTACGAATGAAAACATTTACACAAATATTCAGAACAAAATATGTCAGATGAGTACAATGAACATACTGCATGGTCCCTGAGGACCGGTTTGAAATAATGCCTTTGGCAAAACTATTTTTCGCTCGCACAGAGGTTCATGGGAGACATTCCCATCCAGTTGCATGGCGTAAGAAAAAAAAAACATTCCATTTTGGGTTAAAAAGCAGCACTCTTTTGGGAATGTTGTACTTTTTAGGTCCAAAATCAGGCACGATGGCAAGTTGGCCCAATATGTTTACATTTCTCCTGTAATCTGCCTTTACAGTTGTGGTATATTTCCTACATTGGCAGCTAGCGTTTAATCATATTTTTGCCCATTTTATTGATGACGTTTTAATTATATTGCTGCATATTTCAATTCAAGTACAATACTAGCTTACATACACGTATACAGTATATTATATATTTTTTCAGTGGCACATTAAGGCTCCTTTCCAAAGGAATAAAAGAAGACGAACCTACATCACGTCCTAATGCAGTACTGTGAACAGCCAGGCAAGCTGTTCTTTGTTCTGAAGCTGAGCTCATGTGCTGCACGGTGGATAGGCCTATTGATGGACATAGATAGGCTACGATGACACAAGAGGACGTGCCCTCATTAGTCTGGGCACAGCCATCGCGACACACCTGCCTTAATTTTTCAACAATGTCCATCTTGACAGCTGGCACCGAGTCACCCAGGTGAGAATTGGGTTTTCTGGCGATGGTCACAGACGTGGACTTTAAAATGAGAGTGGGTGACGGAACTCAATGGTGTGTTAAGTGGGGTGAGGGAGGACCGTGCCACCTTTGACAAAGCGTACGGAGTAACGGAGGCTATGAGAGGTACTGCCGTCTCGCGACGACTCAGCTGAAGAGATTTCCGTAGTCGGGCAACTTCCCCTGCGGCTGCCCGCATGGTGTTTTCAATATCTCCCCGCCGATCACCGTGACTGGCTCCACCTGAGCAGCAAAATGACACAAATGCTCTGTGACTCACTGAGTTCATGACTACAAATTGCATTCATCAAATGTCGACGTTTTGAAAATGTGCACCAACAGTTTACATTGATTCACAACATGCCAATTCCACTGGCAGGATTGTGTTCTTGACATCGGGCGTTGCTATGCTCCTTTAGGACCCACTCATTTGCCACACATAACAAGAGTAGGGCCTTTGGATTTGGAATATAAATCGAATAAACGTGCACGAATGTGTATTAACGTGCGTAAAATGCATGTCCGGCAAGTAAAATAGTCACTTGCGATCCAAACCACGCAAAATTTAATCAATAAAAATGTGCTTGCTAATTTGTGGCCACGTGTTTGGCGCAGGCATTTCATTGTTCATCGTTTCACACGAACACATTATCGATGCACATTCACAAAGGAAGAGGTTTAGTCTGAAGTCATATACAGCCTCCCCCTCCCACATAACACCCAGACAGAAACCAATAGATTCAATCGCCAAAAGAACTGCACGAACGCAGACAGCCCGCTATGCAATCGGCTCACCTTGTGGAAGTTGACCAACTCGGGCAGGGAGGCGTGCTTGATCTGGTCGACGCCGAAGAAGCTGTAGGTGTCACCCGCCGCGTCCACCAGGAAGTGCTTGGTGGAGCGCGCCATGCGGTAGGAGAGCGCGTAGCCCCAGACGCGCTCGCTCACACGCAGCAGGAACGTACCCTCCGCCGTTCCCGACAGCAGCTCCTCCGCATCCTCACGCGAGATGAGGCCTGCGAATCACCCAGCATATGCAGCAGCCACAGAGGATCATCATCACCCATCATGTGCAGCAGCTAGAGGGGGATAATCATCACCCAGAATGTGCAGCAGCCACAGAGGGGGGCATCATAATCATCATTGCTCAGCATGTGCAGCCACAGAGGGGGATCATAGGCAGCAGCAGCAGCAGCCATGACCTATTCACTGCTGGATGAGTATACTTCCCCATCATGTCGTGGAAAGAATAGACGATATTTCAGCACGCTGGTCAGTGCGGGTTGGTAAAGGCTAGGAGTGTAAATGTGGAAGCAATGAGGCACAGTGGGTTTTGCTGGACCACCACGTAAGCACAGCTGGTGGTGTTAGAAGCTGCTTAGCTTCTAACATTTGACGATATCAGATGCATTCCAGGTGATTGTCATTGGTAAAAAAAACATATAACATCATGTTTACCTGACTACAATGCATCAACATATACTCCACATGCAACATTCCAGAATGAGTATGCATGCACATAAGGAAGAACAGTAAAATAAAATTGACATACGCACACACCACACACAAAAATAATTAACTGGCTGCATCAAGATTCATAACGGAGACAAGAAGTGAAGCTGCAAAGAAGAGATTCTCCGTCACTCGCTCCACGTGGCCCTCACGTCCTGCCGTTACCACCCCTACCAGCTCGCCCTGGCCACCCCCCCCCCACCCAATCACCATCACTCGCCCCCCTTTACCGTGGAACCAGGGAGCGACGGTATCCGCGTTTCCCCTGAAGCAGGCCCGGCGCGGGATCTCGCGCTCACGGAACCACGTCACAATGGCCTGACGTGATGCCGGGCACGGCAGCTCCGGCTTCTTGCTGCAACGGGACAACACAAAAAAAACATAAACAAAAAAACCAGCAGCGCAATTCAAGACTTGTTGAGGGAATTCTAGATTTGAAACTTTCGTGACTGCAAGGATTCATACTGTTAGTTTTTTCGGTAAAGTCACGTAGACTTGAATTTCGATTTAAAGCTTTCGTGACTGCAGGGATTCATCTTCTTGGTTCTTTCGGTAATGTCACGTAGAAGGGAAGTAATAAAATAATAAAAATAAAACATAATAAAATAATTCTCACGATGTTTCGGCCACAACGCAAGCAGCCGTCCTCAGGTGAAGACCAGGTCTGTCGGGGAGACAGCGTTCAGACGCTGTCTCCCCGACAGACCTGGTCTTATTTTATTATTTGATTACTTCCCTTATACGTGACTTTACCGAAAGAACCAAGAAAATCACGTTGACTTGTTGAGGGAACTCCCAAATAAGCCGGAAGTGAAGTTGGTGCAAATGATGTTCGGCGTTTGGGCATGTAAACAATTCCCGTTTAGTTTTTCCCACATTAGTAATCGCGTATGACGGATCAGAAACATGCAGATTGTGGGGGGAAAAAAAACGAGACAAAAGTTATAAAAAAAAGTGCACAAAGAAGCTTGAAGAGGTGCATGCTAGAAATGACACCAAGAGACAGAAAGATAAACACGTGGATCACAGAAGCAGATTGGAGACATCGTATCGACTTTTAAGAAAAGTATGGGCTTGGGGAGGAAACAACGCTGGAAGGGACGGTGGTTGAGCGAATGGGACTGTCGCATCTTTACTCCAGGGAATGCAATTCTTCGATTGATATCGACGTTTAAGCTCACAAGAATGCATCATAGTGTGTAAGAGTTCACGTGTTTTGATGAGTATATATTGTATGTAATGTTTTCATGTCACCCGTGAAAGCACTATATATGCTGCCATTCACCACAATGCAATTTTTTTTTTTACATTGAATCGCGACAAGTGAATAGTGACAATTCATCGAATCACTGGGGTGGGCGGCATGAATCGCTCCACCCTTAAGTTTGATCGTCTCGTTTGTATTGTTTCTGATTATATCATCTACGCAATTTTCTTCGCTTTATTTGCTTAAATTGAACACTGGCATGCAAATATTAAATATTTTAAATTAATTGAAATATATTGAGTCTGACGTGCATGACGGTTTGACAAAATTTTAACAAATGTTTACAAACCAATTTCTTTTCACTTATCAGCCAGCAGGTGGGTGGAGTGGCCGCGCAGTGGTTAACACACGGTGTTATGAACCCGGCAACCTGAATTTGATTCCCAGCCATGGCTAACATCAGTGGTGATATCTGAGCATGCATTGACGAGCATGGTGAAGTATGGTCAAACCATCCCCATGACCAATACACCATGCTTCGGATTTTGTCCAGCAGTAACTTGACAGTGGGATACATGTTATTTATTTTAGTATCAAGCATATGCCCTTGACCTCTAGTTGCAACACACAGAAAATGATCATCGCGAGCACACATCCAGTGTTTGCAGTGGTGGATGGAGAAAGGGCTATAAGGGCAGAGCTTGTAATGGAAAGCATGTGGAGGTGTTAGATGAAAAGTGATAACTGTTCAACACAAAATGCCTTATGGCAGACAAAGCAACTGGAGCTATGCACTTTTAAATCTCGATTGAAAACTCTTTCCTTTCGCACTGCTTTGTGTTTAGTTTGTTGTCCTTCCTCCGCACCTCCGTTTAGCGCTGTTGGCTACTTACACACACACACACACACGAGGCACATCTCTGTGCTGCGGAGAAGGGCCATTCGCCAGATGCATCACTTATTATACATTTTATCCTTCGCTAGAGCGGCGTTACTGACGAACGCGTTGGGGTGTTTTCGTTTATGTGCAAATCGCGCCGGTGCCGCGCGTGCGGTGCGGTGCGGTAGCGGTGTCAGTGACCGTCGCCGGACGGCGTCTCACCCAGGAAGCAGCTTGGTGGGTCTGGGCGGAGGCACGGGCTTGGGTCCGAGCCTCGCGCCTCCCCCCCCGGGGCAGTCCTGCACGTCTATGCCCACGAAGCGGTTGGTGAGCGACGCCACGGAGCCCTTCTCGATGGCGCGGATCGACTGGCGCTTGTACTCCTCGCGCGTGCGCAGCGCGAGCTGGCGCCGCGCCTCATCCGCCGCCTTCGCCTTCTTCACTGCGAGGCGCACACACGCAGCGCGACGACGGTTAAACGTACATAGAGGTTTTTTTGGGTTAGATCGCGTAAATATATAAATGTGTCATTAAACCTGCCACCACCCAACACAGCCAATTAGTAAGGTTTGTCACATAAACAGAACATGCCAATTCGTCACTAGTACAGCACACCGGTGTGTTGGAGAGCCAAGCCACAACATTTGCAATCTGAGTACGACGTTTTGCCAGTAATTACAACTAGCATCATCAGGCGACAGCCAGATTCGTGGAGAAGTCCTGTTTCGTTCCTTAAATTGAGGGGTAGATCTGTGTTACACGTACGTGTGTGTGTGTGTATGTTGAAGTTCTATCAGTGTGTATGTTGAAGTTCTATCGCATCGTATGTAGTCAACCGTGCTAATCGAAGATGCGGACCATGCTAAACCTGACTGTGACGTGAAAACCACGGCATACCCATACAAACAAGTAATTGTCTCTCGATGGCGAATTGGCTGACGAGTTGTTAACGACCCAAGCCTGGTATAGAGGAGGTCGTGGGTCCGATCCCAACCGCGATGCCTGGAAATTTGGAGTTTGAATATTCTCCCCGTGGTCGCATGGATTTTTCTCCGGGTCCTCCGGTTTTTCCTCTCCATTTAGAATCGACGTGCATTTAAAGTGTTTGGCTGTTAGAAATTTCCACATGATAAGCCACTTCAGTGGGCTATCATTTGTGGCCAGGTCGCTTCTAAAAAAGAGCAATATAGCTCAGTGGGCCTTACCTGGTAGAATAAAATAAATCACTTTTTAACATCGTTAAATATAGGAAACCAAATTATTTTAATTGGTTAAATTTGGTGGGGCAATGGCGCAGTGGCGCAGTGCTTAAGCCTTGCTGTGCTATCAACTCCGCTACCTGAATTTGATTCCCAGCCAAGACTAACATTGATTTGTCAACTGTCCTGGACACACCTTTGGTCAAGTATGGTCAAACAAACCCCCGTCACCACCATGGTGGGGGGGGAGAGGTGCTTCATCTGGTAGTGGATTGACAAGGGCTGTAAATTAATGTAATTTTCTGTATTGTATTTAATCGTTGCTAACATCAATTCCAACAGATTATTGTGCTGATCCAGTGTTCTTCATGGCGGCCCCCCAACAATACACAAAATGTGAAAACACCCCCATCGTCATCGTGCTGCTGTCCAACCCAGCAATGGTTTCAAATGTGTGGCAGCCCTTACACTGATGATGTCTTATCGGCGAAAGTGGCCACCCCTCTTAAAATTTGTGAAAAACACTGTGCTAATCTAGTACAGCTGAATTTAATTCATCACTCTTCTTTGGCCTTTTATTCGACCATCCACATCCATTCCATCAGATTTTTTGCCAAAAAGTTGTTTTCATTAAGTAGGGCCCACACCCATGCCCCCCCCCCGTAGTTCTCCTTCAGTGACTGTGGTGTTACAAATTCGTGTTTGTTCCAGCTAACAGCAGGCATCTCCATTCCCTCCCCCAACTCATGATGGTAAAGTTCACGTGCAGAATAACTTTTTTTCCCCTGTTAAGACGCTCAACAATAAAACGAAGGCACAGAGTACTCGTTCTTTTGCTCTTGAATATCACATTCTTTTAGTGGCTGCCAAGTTTTACAGTGCGTCAAAAGAAACTATCACGCACATCATCACCACCGCCGCCACCACCAACCAACGACCCCCAACACTAATTCCCTTGGAAGGCGAGTCTCTTGTTTGTTTCGTGGGCCTCAGTGTCACACAGCATATGGCCCACCCCCTATTCTTATCAATAGCGGTCGATCAGGAGCCACGCTAAGCATCTGGTGAACAGGTGGCAGGCCGAACCCTTCCTCCAGCACTACACTTAATACCCTACGGTTCATTACAGTGTCATGTTTGGCCAGGGTCAAAGGGTGAACTCTGAATCTGCAATGAATTTTACCTCTCCAAGCGGCTACACTGCTGAGTGTGCAATTTTAAACACAATTCTAGTTAATTCAATTATATTGTCCCCCCCCCCCGTCCCCCCATTGTCTCTTCAATGAGCATCGACAGTCGCTGCTGTCATTTGCTCAATTTTAGCCGTGAGTCACTGGTACACACATTTAATTATGCTGCTACGCTACTGAATGGTTTGAACTACTTAAATGACAAACCAATTCATTATATGTATTCCCATTGTTGCCGCTTCTGTGATGCTCCTTTGAATGTCCTGAAGCCAGAACAATCAATAATGTAAAATAAACAATTGCTCAATATTTTAACAATGAGTGACCCGGCGGCACAAAGCATAATCAGAAGATCCGCACAATAGCTGTAATGCAAAGCACACTGTGTTAAATCCATCTAATACTATGTAGATTTTTTAAGTGTGGTCATATATATTCTTTGGGTACTTCGGTAAAGCCACGTAGATAGAAGAAAAAAATAATACAAATATCACGACGTTTCGATCGCAACACAAGCAATCGTCATCAGGTGAAAAATAGTGGTCATATAATCCAAACATCTCTGCTAGAGGGTCACTTGAACAAACACAAAGAATTGCTGCCATCTCCAAGCACAACAACGGAGAAGGGTTGCTGTTTAAATACAACAGACTGCCAGGTGTCCCTATCGGCCAATCCGTGTAACCGGACTCTGGAAACAGCTCTCTCGACAGTGTTGTTGCTACAAGGCTGCAAGGTAAGTCCAAACATGTGCCCGTATCCCACAAACATTAAAGCGATGAAACGTGGCTATATTGTTGAAGAAAGTAAACTCTGGCTGCGATGTTGTACAACGTGTGCCGTGCATCTCCGATTAGCACGGTTGGCTTCGTACAGTGCGGGAGAAGTTCAACATTCGTACGCACAAAAGTATTGACATTTTGTAGGTAATTCAATGATAAAATAATGAAGTATTGCTCAGTGGCCAGAGCACTAAACCAGCACTGCTGGGATCCTGGGTCCGGATCCAGGTATCATCAACATAATTCATAAACAACACTACTAAGAGAGAGAGTTGTTGCCAGTGTCCTGTTAAATAATTGGCTGACAAGAGAACGTCTGTTACTGTTGCAATTAAAGCGTGTCCTCAAATGCAGTAAACGGACGGTTTTAGCTGGTCCACAACGGATGACAAAAAACCCAATCATTTGCAATTTGTTTTGCTACTTATTTTTGGCTTATTCTGGCTCAGAGATATAACAAAATTCAGTTTCAATTATATGCATATAACATCTTTTGCAGAGCATTAATATGTGTTTCTCTGGTGTGGGAGGGACTTCAAAAGTAGTTCTGTGATGTAATCTTGTCATCTTCCTCTGGCATTAACTTTGTGACACATGGTGTCATACAGTTGCAATGATAATTACAACTCCAGTGCATAAACGATACCTAAATGATGGGGCTTATTCAATGAATGGTCTATGGGGTATAATCTACACACAGTGGCACACAGATTACAAGATGCTTAATAGCACCAATAGGAATATGTATGCGGTGCAGAGGAAACAATAAAAAGCTAAGTAAACAAAAATCTGTTTCACATTTGCTTTCTAGAATAATACATTTCAGCAGCATTTATTTTAGCAGGCAAACTTTTGACCGGTTGCAATGTTAATTATAACTCCAGTGCATAACAGATGCCTAAATTGGTGGGGCTTATTATTCAATGAATAGTTTATGAGGTTAATCTATAACTTTAAAAACTTTTATGATCAAATCAAAGCCAATGAATATCAATCAATTCAGGCATTTGGGTCTCCAATTCTACGATTCAAAAGAAAGCTAAATCAAGTACAAATAAGGCAACAAAATAAGTACAATTTTTTAAAATCTTTTAACACCAATGTGTTGACATCAGCACTGCTGGAAGAGCTGATTTTTAAAGAGTTTTAGTCATTAGAAAGTCCACCTGCATTGGTTAGCATGGGCCCTTGGTGCGAGGGATGAAACGGGCCCTCTGCAGACTCGACAGCTACTCCGCCGCGTGCACTTCCTCACACACATCACCGCTGGGCTCCGCACTACCCCCTGCAAAATGTCTCCCATGCACGGCTACATAAATATCCACACCTCCTGCAAAGCCAAATGTAAAGTAAACATTCCAACTCATTCCAGATGCGTCCGCGCAATCTCCATGGAAACGGCAGCATGGTCGTGGACATTCGGTTTTCAAATAACGAATACCAAATTGGCACAACATCCCTTATGTAGCCAGTACCCCGTTAGCCTTTATCTACAGCCAGCACATCTCTACTCTATCTCTAGAGCCATCCAAGACATCGCTGCCATATCTCTTTAAAGCCAGCCAGCACATCACTGCCCTATCTCTAGAGCCAGCCAGCACATCGCTGCCATATCTCTCTCTAGATTCAGCTAGAACATTGTTGCCCTATCTCTTTAGGTCCAGCCAGCACATCACTGCCCTATCTCGAGAGCCAGCCAGCACATTGCTGCCCTATCTCTTGATCCAGCCAGCACATCGCTGCCCTATCTCTAGAGCCAGCCAGCACATTGCTGCCCTATCTCTTGATCCAGCCAGCACATCGCTGCCCTATCTCTAGAGCCAGCCAGCACATTGCTGCCCTATCTCTTGATCCAGCCAGCACATCACTGCCCTATCTCTAGAGCCAGCCAGCACATTGCTGCCCTATCTCTTGATCCAGCTAGCACATCGCTGCCCTATCTCTAAAGCCAGCCAGCACATTGCTGCCCTATCTCTTGATCCAGCCAGCACATCGCTGCCCTATCTCTAGAGCCAACCAGCACATTGCTGCCCTATCTCTTGATCCAGCCAGCACATTGCTGCCCTATCTCTTGATCCAGCCAGCACATCGCTGCCCTATCTCTAGAGCCAGCCAGCACATTGCTGCCCTATCTCTTGATCCAGCCAGCACATCGCTGCCCTATCTCTAGAGCCAGCCAGCACATTGCTGTCCTATCTCTAGAGCCAGCCAGCACATTGCTGCCCTATCTCTTGATCCAGCCAGCACATCGCTGCCCTATCTCTAGAGCCAGCCAGCATATTGCTGCCCTATCTCTAGAGCCAGCCAGCACATCGCTGCCCTATCTCTAGAGCCAACCAGCACATCGCTGCCCTATCTCTTGATCCAGCCAGCACATCGCTGCCCTATCTCTTGATCCAGCCAGCACATTGCTGCCCTATCTCTTGATCCAGCCAGCACATCGCTGCCCTATCTCTAGAGCCAACCAGCACATTGCTGCCCTATCTCTTGATCCAGCCAGCACATCGCTGCCCTATCTCTAGAGGCAGCCAGCACATCGCTGCCCTATCTCTAGAGCCAACCAGCACATTGCTGCCCTATCTCTTGATCCAGCCAGCACATTGCTGCCCTATCTCCTGATCCAGCCAGCACATTGTTGCCCTATCTCTAGAGCCAACCAGCACATTGCTGCCCTATCTCTTGATCCAGCCAGCACATCGCTGCCCTATCTCTAGAGCCAGCCAGCACATCGCTGCCCTATCTCTTGATCCAGCCAGCACATCGCTGCCCTATCTCTAGAGCCAGCCAGCACATTGCTGCCCTATCTCTTGATCCAGCCAGCACATCGCTGCCCTATCTCTTGATCCAGCCAGCACATCGCTGCCCTATCTCTTGATCCAGGCAGCACATCGCTGCCCTATCTCTAGAGCCAGCCAGCACATTGCTGCCCTATCTCTTGATCCAGCCAGCACATCGCTGCCCTATCTCTAGAGCCAACCAGCACATCGCTGCCATATCTCTCTAGAGCCATCCACCACACTGCTGCCTTATCTCCAGTCAGCCAGAACATCGCTACCCTCTCTCTCCCTAGAGCCATCCAGCACACTGCTGCTCTATCTATCTCTAGGGTCAGCCAGCACATCGCTACCCTCTCTCTCTAGAGTCAGCCAGCATATCTCTGTCCTATCTTTAGATCCAGCCAGCAGATTGCGACCCTTCCTTCAGAGACTGCAACACCCAATTTAAACTCGAGCTTCGTTTCCATGACCACTAAGAAGAGGTCTCTGTCAGCACTGGAACGGCCGGTACTGGCCAGAGGCAGCACCAGAGCCTGGATCCATGTCCCCTTGTGGTCCACAAGTCAAGAAGCTCCAGGAGCTGAGCCCTAAACACTCCGTCTCCCCAACATCATTACCTCCTTGCTCTCCGTGGCCAGCAAGTGGGCGCCGGTCGGGGAGACATCTTTAAAAAATATTGTTATCGAAGTTTAATGTAATGAATAACCGTGTTACACGATACGAACGCAAACAATAAAAATGTTTGTAATGGCTTGACTACATTTTTTTTTTGTACACACACGGTGGGGGAAGTTAAAATGGCAAATGACATCACGACACAAACGTCTCGTGACTGCACTGACCTCGTTAAATTACAACTGGTCCTGTGGTGGGGGCCGACTCTACCACGTGTGGCACGAGTTGAGAAGTGATCCTGGGTGGTCGAGTTCTGGGGGAATCCTTGGGACTGGTTCAGCAAGGCTGGGCTCTGCTGGGCGAAATGCGAGCTGCCCTGTGCGAACATCTACCCAGCACGGCTCCGGCTGCTGCCCATAGAAAACGAGGCGTAACAATGCACGGATGCTCAGTGGCCATAGTCTCTCCTCTCTCTCTCCATTGCAGACACAGCGAACTTTAGTTTTGTTGTCCTTCCCCCGCACCTTCAATTAGCACGGTTGGCTACGTACCTGTGCGAAAAAAGTTTAACATACAGGTAGTCCCTGACTTACGATGGTCCGACTTATGATATTTTGATCTTAAAATGGCGATAGCGATATGACAAAATTGTAAAATGTTTTACATTTCGCGCGGCAGGCAAACGCAGCAGCGTACGAGGTACGATACTGTACGTTGGGACGCTGCCGGGATGTACTGTACGCATCTCCCGCCTTGTGCGGTGATGCCTCACTCTCACCAGCGGTCGACGGAGTTTTAAGTGGTCACGGTGTTAGCGCGTGCATTTTCTTCTGTGATTGTGTTTCAGAATCTTAGCGAGTACAGTACAATATGATACGTTACGATACGTTCAATGCATGTATGATATGTAGCTTTAGCGATTTAATTTTAGGGTTACCACGATACGATACATACGTTCAATGCATGTTAAAAGTTTTTATAGCAGATAGGAATGTTTCCTGAAAAAACTTTCTATGAAATTGCAGTTCATATAGGTAGGCTAAGAATTTACCTTGTTTTTTTACTTTACATTATACTGAGCAATACAGTATTGTAATTAATAAATACATACAGTATATAGTTTATACAGTACGGTACTGTAAATTGCTCTGTTTTGCTAAATTATCATCATTCTTTAAGACTCCTGGGTAGGCGAGGCCATTTTCGACTTACGATATTTTCGACTTACGATTGGGTCGTCATAACGCATCTCCATCGTAAGTCGGGGACTACCTGCACACATAATGCACCGAGCCTCGACACTTACGGGCCTCCTGCCACGCCATTTCCTCGGCGTCATAGTTGGACTGCTGGAAGTTTGCGTAGATGTTCTCCGAGTCATCGTCCTCCTCCTGCTCCTTCTTCTCATCCTCCTTCTGCTGCCGTTCGTGCGAGGCCTTCATCCACTGCTTCCTGCGGTCAGACTCAGCGCACATCTTCCCCAGGATCCTGCGTGGGTCTGCAGGCTCCTGCTGCACTTTTGGCTGGTGGGAAGAGACATGGAAAGGGAGATTGAACTTTAAAAAACACGGCAGAGTGTGCGTGTTGAACCAATTGTAACACTTTGTGTAAGTGGATGGGAAACTCATCAGATTTATAAAATACCTGACTGTCCAGGAATGGAAAGATCGTGTATAATACATCTTTTTAATTATATTTATTTTAATAATGTTTTTAAATATTGGTAATATTCTGGACACATTTTTGCATGTATAATACACCTTTTAACTATATGGATAAAAATGTAGTTGTTTGTAAATTTTACTTACTGAAGCATAAAATGGGTCAATATGTTGGATGTAGAAGGTTGCCACTATAAAACCATAAAATGTAGTATATTTTCATATTCATGAGCTCCACACAGTACCCTTGTTGCATTATGTATTGAAATTTGTTTTAGACAAAGAATCGTCTATAATGCAGAAACCATTGCAGACACCAGTGCACTCTAAGTGTCAGTCGTTAAACCTACATTGATTTTACATTAAAATTACACCAATGTGGATATGAATCGGAGGTCAGAGCGCTGGGCTGGCACCACTGAGATGTTGGGGTTTGAATCCAGATTTGAGTCACTCAAGCGTAGCGAGTGGATGTCTCAGCCCAGTCGCGCAATGATCGCACGCACATAAAATCCCACCACAATGTTGGACTTGTCAGTGCCGGAAATTAAATTAATTACTTTGACTGTCACGAGGCAATCTTGTAGCATAGCATGTGGGAACATGCACCCCCCCCCCCCCCCCCCCAGTGTAAAGGATCATCTTCAGATATCCTGCGAAAAATATATTTTAACCCTGTCCTTCTCCGACACACGGGCGCGCACCGCTCTCTGAGATTTCTGAATTGATTCCTCACCGCGTGACAAAGTCAACAGCACAACTGTAGTGCACCAATGTGAAATTCAATTCAAAAGCGCTCGGAAGTCACCGTTAAACATACCGTGTCATTCAAGGAATAACGACAAACCCAACTCGGAAAATGTTAATTATCTTTTGTGACATAGACACAATAGAATTCATCAGGAGTTAACTTCAGCGGCCATCATTTTTTCCAATTCAACTTTGTTCGCTGTTGTTTTGCTCAACTTCAAATCGTGTGCGCTGTGTGGAAGCAGGGCGGCACGCACAGTCGGGACTTGACTAAATCGTGACCGTATGTGCATGAACACGGTAACGGGAACGACAGCCCGGCCGGTGCTGACATAAGGGACGCGTGCAGCGGCGTGCGGGCATGATGCAGTGGCGCTTGCCTGCTGTGGCAGAGCCACGGGCGTCTCTTGGCGGACTTCCTTGGGCACGTGTCGCTCCTCTGCTGCCTGGGTCTGCGGTTTCTCTTCCGAAATTCGTTTCTCCTCCCCGACGCTCGTCGGCCTCTGTACCTGCAAGGTACACAGTTGCCACAAATTAAATTAGTTTCTCGATATGACAATTTCGATGTAAAGCTTTCGTGACTGCAGGGATTCATCTTCTTGGTTCTTTCGGTAAAGTCTACGTGACTTTACCGAAAGAACCATGAAGATATGACAATTATCGGGATGCCAGTTTCATATAGAATTGTAACTCGATTTAGCATTTCTGTTTCTGTAATCTTAAAGTTACAAGTCACTTCGGAATGTACGACGCACCCCAAACTTGTGCCGAAGCATCAATACATTTACACAAAGGTTGACCACGCTGACACACACCTGAGGATAAGCACCCTAACCTTTGCTTTAAAACACAGGAGGAAAAGTGTCCTATAATCCAGAGAATACGGTACATTGTTTGTGTTTACCGTACTACCAGTATGAATAAAGATTACCTAAGAGTTCTTATGTTGCAATTCACTCAACACAAGCCCTGCCCATCCGTCTTCTAACAATTGCAACTTTAAAATTTGTAACACTTCTAAACGTACTGGATCTCTTTTAAACAAAAACAATTACGCAATGGAACGATCCAAGGAAATTATTATCTCATATAACTGCCATGCCGTCAATTCTAAAACATTTTGCAAAGTATCCATTTAATGGGAAATAGGTATGATTCTGAACTCGTGTTAGTTATTTAATTAATGTAGTTTCAGGAAATAAAACATTTAAAAATACAATCGGGATATGATGATGTTTTCCAAAACTGACATCACAATTATCGTGGATGTTGTAGTTTTGATATATCTCAGCTTCAACTTTATTTTGTTTAACCAGGTGAGAACTCAAAACAGCAATATAGTCTCATTTTCAAGAGCGACCAGCGGTATTCGTCTGCCAGTAAGGGCCAACTATTGCTACGTATGCTACGAATTGAGTAATTTGTGTGAAATTTTCGAATTTGGCCAATTTGGAATATTGACTGTGGCACACAATTGCCTACTCCTGTGAATGACATCAGGCGATCTTTAACGTCCACTGTGAATCAAACAGCATGTAACATTATTACTATGGTTAATAACACCTGGAACAATACTGCTACTATATTATTTTACCAGGTAAGGCCCACTTAAGTATATAGCTCTTTTGCAGAAGCGACCTGGCCACAAATGATAGCTCAACGAAGTGGCTTATCACGTGGACATTTAAAGCGGAGAAATACTCGAAACGCGTGTTGATTCTAAATGTGGAGGAAAAAACTGGATGACCCAGAAAAAAATCCACCCGACCACGGGAAAAACATACAAACTACAAATATACAGCAGTCAGGGTCGAGATCTAACCCACGACCTCCTGTATGCCAGGCAAGGGAGATAACATCTTGGCACCGTGGCACCATATAATCATGGCGGTGGTTGAATTCGAACGGTGAACCTTTGCAACAAGCAGCGAATGTGCTACCGCTGTGCCGTGTGTCACTGCCCCTATACAGAATCGCCAAATCGCAGCAACCCTCCTGCGATGGGCGGATAATCCATCATTAGTTACCCACTAAGGCCACCTGTACAAAGGATGCTGAGCAACAGCTTAAGGAACACCAATTCCCTCTCAAAGCACTTAATATGACCTTTAGAACCAAGGGCTTATCCATCGAAAATTGGAAAGTCAACATGCAAGGTAATTATAATCTCCACAAGTGTTCATCAAATATTTACACCGGCATTCATTTGCTCAAGCCAACACACCTAATTTTAAAATCCCCATCATATGGCTAGATTTTAATATTTACAGCAGCAGCAGCAACAATATAATGATAATATGTACAATGATACATGTACAGCCCTTTGTCAATCCACTGCTGGATGAGGGCCTCCACAGACCATACTTCACCATGCTGGCCAGTGCAGGTTGGTGAAGCTGGGGAGCAAAGCTATGGACGCTTATAAGTACAGTACAACTATAAACAAACATGCTGTCCAGCACGTACGACAATATAGGTGTCTCCATTCCCCTCCCCAAACTAAAACTGTCATGGTTATGGAAAACATAAACACTGAGCCCACATCATTATGCCAATGCCTAATTGAGGAGTACGTTGACAAGGGCAGATGTGTTATGGTCAACTGCGGTGTTGTTGTCCTTCCACGAGTCACCTAATGAGCTCACAATCTCAACAAATCAATCAAATCCCCGTTCATTAGGTAGAGGGCCAGGACACACAACGCTCGCTTGCTGATGGTAGTTTTATTTTCGACAAATGTCCCACTCAACCAAATCCCCTCACCTTATACGGTGTATCCCCATAAGGGGCAAGGGAAATTACCAAGATGGAATTTTCACGGACCGTTGTCGTTTCGCCTAAATTCAATCCGGCAAATCAATTTTCGGGCATTATTTGAAGTGAAAAATGTTTGCTCAACGGCGCTCTTTTTCACAGACACCATCTGTCTCCAGTTGGCTGATAAAATAAACGTTCCAGGTTTTTTTTTTTACAAGTTATACAGTCGGCACAACCGTTGTGCCTCATTATCTGAGACTTGAACTTTTAGTGGCTGAGATGTGGACACATCAGACAAAGCTTTAATGGGGGAAACCACAAAGGGAAAAGATTAGAAGGTATAAAAGCTTTCATTGTATGCGCGCACAGCTACATATGATATGAAGGGTAGAGTTAACATCGTCGATCCGACCAACAGCTGCACAAACCAAGTGCTATGCCAACCAGCACGTGCTCCAAAACATTTGGCTGAAGAAAGACACGTTAGACATCGTGTGAACTACCATACACGGGTATTAAAACGATGTCAAACGTCAGTCGACACTTTCCTGTATGCCTACCCGCACAAGGGTACACGGAGAAGTGGCCCAGTGGCTAGCATGCTACACTATTAACCCGGCAATGAAGTTGAATTCCCAGCCACGGCTAACATCAGTGGCGAGTGACGAACCTACACTGACCAGGCATGCTCAAGTGAAGTCAAACAACCCCCTATGACTGAGATGGTGTGGGGGGCAACCTCCATCCAGCAGTGCATGACAAAGGGCTGAAAATAAATGTCTTATATATATGTTTACCTGCAAGCTACAAATGGTACATGTCAGGCTCATTTATCATTTTATAAGTCTTGTTTTTAAATAAATAGATCTGAGGTTTGCTGGGAAGTGTCACAGAATTACAGGAAGTGCGCATGTTTGCTGGGAAGTGTCACAGGGGTGCCACAGTGGCTAGGAGATGTTAACTTCCTCGCCTGGTATACAGGATGTCGTGGGTTCAATCCCGAACCTGACGCCTGTATATTTGGAGTCTGCACGTTCTTCTTCGGGTCCTCCGGTTTTCCCCTCCACATTTAGAGTCAACGTGCGTTTCAAGTCTTTGGCTGCAATAAATTTCCATGCGATAAGCCACTTCGTTGAGCTATCACTTGGGATAGCCAGGGCACTTCTGAAAAAGAGTTTTCGAACTCAGTGGGCCTAACCCAGTAAAATAAAAATTTGTTTAAATCGGAGGAACATTTCAAACAAAGGTGCCTCGCTGTAATGCTGCCGATTGCACCACGTCCTCTCACGTGCTCGTGACTCGGTGACAATCATGACGACAACGATGACGATAACAATGAAGACAAACACGCTCGCAGCTGCGCAACATAGCAACACAAGCTCTTTCACACAGCACGGCTAAACACCCTCAAGACCCCCCCACAGCCCCCCGAGTCAAAATGATAGGTATGCACTGGCGGCGTTATGAAAACAGCTTCTGCGTCTACCACCCGTGACACCCGGGGTTGCTTGGAGAATTACCACGGCAAGTCCTGAAACTTAGCGCAAGAAGCCAGCTCGCAGTATTTTCGCTCGGAATGCACGGTGGAGTAAAAATGTCGCTCCGCCAGGTTTGCGCAAGACGTGTTGAATGTGCGTCGCGGCGATGGCCTCAGCCATTCAAACTCGAAGCCCTCTGCGAGAAGAAGAGCACGGACACGGGGCGGTGGGGGGGGGACAAGCGTCGCTCACGCCCTTCCTACGGGCGCCGCCGTGATTCCACGCCGTCAATTCGCACACCACACCTGGCCCAAAAATATCCACTGGACCCTTTAATTAACGCCGCCAGGGAAGGGCTGCTGAAAGTACACAACAGGGGGTCGTGGCAAACTACACGAGTGGGTATTTTAAAACGCTTCGCTTTGTGCGCGCTAAAAAATCGACGACACGCTAGGAGGGTACTTGGAGAGTGTGCGTGTGTACACAGCATCTGTGTCTCTTTTCGTCCTTAGAGGCCAGCCAGCATGTGAAAAAAAAACTTACAGGATTTTTAACGCTGATGAAAGGCACCTGTTATTTCTACCGTCAATGATAATAAAGCTTACAACGCTAGTAAAAGGCATTTACACGATATGCTACATTACCCCACTGTGTTTAAAGTCAATGTGAATATCCCCTGCGGTGCCTGTCATGCAAATGTAGAATTTCCACCAACGATTCAGGGCGGGCAACAGAAATGAGTGCCGCCCAAAGCGTTAATAAAGCAGCTCTGCGCATCCTGACATTTTTACTGCACTGTACACGCCAATGCCAAAATCACTCACGACATGTCCCGACCCCGTCAAATATTCGGAAATAAGCAGGGTTGAGCCTGAACGCAGTGCTTGGATGGGCGGCCACCATTAACATATTGTCACAGGGCAGCAGAAAGCTAAGCAGCAACATCCATTGTTATACTATACTTCCATGTTCGCTCCCTATCTTCAGCAACCCGCACTGCCGAGCTTAGTGAAGTATGGCAACAAAAAAAACACCCGAGAACCACTAGGTATGGGGGATGCCTTCATCCAGCAGCGGACTGAGAAAGACTGTACGTGTACTTGTACTGTACACCATTAAACCACTTGGTTGAAGGCAAATTTATTGTCCCATAGGCAGCATGATTACTGCCCTAAAAATGTTGAATTTCAAGCACTGGCTCAGGACAATCAACATAAGTGATAACCACCTGAGGCTGAACTGAGCATAGCAACATGCTGACATTCTTTTTGACA